ATATAGACAACGCCATTGTTTACAATACAACCGGAGCACATGCCGCTGAGGTGAGGGGCGTGACATTCAGACGCAGACCTTTATATGGTTTATATAGAGTAATAAAGAAAATGGAGAGAAAGGGTACAATGCATGCGACCTTCAAACTAGATTCTGCAGTACAGATGAACCTGGTATGTTTGAAAGTGTATGTTATTGAGTTTTTTTTTTAAGTGCTCTTTTTTCAGCATATATTTATGTTGTATTCTTGTTACACTGAAGTTTGCATTTTGTTTATCTCACATTGAAAAAAAAAATTTATTTTAGTAAAATATCTAAACATCCTGAATAATAAAATAAATTGACTTTGCATAAGCTTTGCAAAAATATTAGCATAAAAATATTATATTATATAAAATATTATTGTAATATTATAATACTATTGTCGTTTTCATACAATATATCTTGAATTAAGAATTTGTTTAAGCATAAAGTTTACAATTTAGTAAGATTTATGCTTAGGCAATATGGTAAATAAAGTTTTAACATCTGATGAATTATTTATTTATTTTGCTCTTTTTTATGTTTTACAGTGTAGTGTTACATTTCCAATAAATTAAACTAATTCTCTCTCTTTCTCTGACTAGCTGCAGGAGTACTACAAGAAGCAACAGGAGCAGCTGCACCTCCAGCTCCTTACCCAGCAACAGCAAGCAGGGAAGCAGGCCAAAGAGGTGAGACACTGCCCCCTCCCTCTGTAGTGCACTTCACAGTGTACTTCACCCTCATAGCACCCTAGATGAGCATCCTCAAGTTTGCTGACACATGATTTGTCAGGGGCCAGTTCCTCTTGAAAGCCAGAAACCAGCTCTTTGAAAATAACCGTTCTCATATGTGAGATGATTTTTATGACGGATTTTGTGCTGCACTGAATGGCACAGACCTTATAAAGACTCTGAGCATTACATTAAATCCTCAATAGGAAAATAGATGCATGCCATCATGTTTTTTTCCCCTCCTCTCTCAAGCACTCAATTGCATTTTGTGTACTAAACGATTCAAAAATGCGGATTAAGACGTTTGGGGAATATGGATTTTCATTTCTTTGCCGTTGACCAAAGTCATGCTCCAATCCTTGCCATGGGCTTCCCCGCTAATACTGGTTAAGCATTAATTTACAAGTTGCCGCTTGCTAAGCCTAGGGGAAAATCCCTATTACAACCCACTATGGTGGAGCTGACGATTTTCTTTAATTGTCAATTAATGCACTGGAGGGGGAGAAGGACCTGATCTGGCTAATGAAGGTGAGGGGGAATCATGTTGGATCACTGAGGATAAGACTGCAGCACAACAAAGGCAAGGGCGCAATCGCTTGCCTGCGCACTGCGGGAGAGGAGATCTGCGCTAATCTGGCGGTCAAATGAATTCCAAACTTATGCGGCCTGTTTTTCAGTGGCATGGGATATATACAACTTAATCAATCAAGGAGTTTTCATGAGGGCTTAATGAGAGATTGTAAAAAGGATGTAGCACACGCACTGTCGAGTCAAGTGCCAGTGGATTAGAGACCTGCTCTCCCGAGAGACCTGACGCAACCGAGTGCGGCGCGGGTCAAGACTTGATAGGCGAGTGCAGAGACTCGTGTGTGTGCGGGATGCGGGAGAATAAAATTATTCACGGGACTCCCGCAAAATAGAAATATCTAAGCATAAAATATCTCAAATAAATAAATTGTTATTCATCTATTGCACAAAAGCAACATGAACTAATATAAAATATAAACGATTAACAGGTGCAAGCGTATGCAGAGTTTCTATTTAGGCTATAACACGTGTTTGCAGCATTGAGCAATTCAGTTCTGAAATTTGCATTGTGACTGATAGAGCAAATGCGTGGCAAATGCACGAGGTGCCTGAAACACACGTACACAGAGTGGCACACACACACTCCAGCAAATGAGACCAGTATCCTGACATTTTCCACAGATAGTCAAGGAACGTGACAGAGACCATGGGAAGAAAAAGAAAAAGATTGAAAAGTGAGAGGGAGGGGAAAGGTATAAAAAAGCACGACTAACCTTATTCAAGGCCTCAGGAGTTTTTCAGACATTTTCCCTTATTAAATATTGGAGCTAGGGAGACGGTTTGAGTGGAAGGAGAGCAGGGAAATTAAATTGGGAGGGCAGTGGTCAGCTCCTCTTCCCCATGGATCAGCTCACGTTTGTTCTGGGCCTCTTTAGTCGGCCTGAAATATGGCCCTATTCAAGTATGCTAACATGCTTGGCCAACATGTCACAGACATGTTGTACATACTTAACGTATGCTTTTGCGTTACTGTCTCTGTGAGAAACCGAAGTCCTCCTTTCTGCTGCCCCACTGCACAATTATATTAGGTTGGAAGTCTACTGTACCCGTCACCTGTAGCTTCTTTGCTTAAAGATTAATATTAAAAGTGTTTATTTTTTAATTATTTTACTTTTTTATATTATTAATATTTTAAATAGTGTTGCATGGTGTAAATTAAAATGAAATTATTAATGTTAAAAGGGTACATTTTTATTTTATAATTTTTTTTTAATTGTATTTTATTTTTTTATTTTGTTCTATTTATTATTTTATTTTATTTATTAAATAAATACATTTTCTCATACTTATACTGTAGAGTACATTTGAGGTTTTAACATACAATTCTAGTTATGGAGATAACTGATAAATGGATGCTGTCTGGAGTATCAGTGCAAGGAAAATCGGATATAAGCATATTATATTAGGCCGTCTTAAAAGTTTCATCTGTGTGAGTGTGTGTTTACGCGTGTGTTGTCTGCCATGTATTGGTGTTCCCCTGGGGACGAGTGCACTGATAGCACTGGACTAACAGTTAAGCAGTCAGGCGTGAGGAGAGGAAAGAAGATAGCATCACAAGTATGTGTGGTGTTTCTCATCCCTCTTGTCCTCTTTTAAGGCCCTTCATCCTCTGAAACCTCCCTTTTCTTTGTTCTGCAATGCTGTTGGTCCACCTAGCACAGAAAACTGCCCCCTGAAGCCATGAAGCTAACTGCATCTCTGGCCCGTACTACCACCTCCTCAATTTTGTCATCAATATATTTTATTTTCCTTTCATTCGCCATTATTGGCATAAAGTTTCAACGATCATGGCAAGTGGCCTGTTCATATAATCTGTGATTGAAATTGGAAACTCAAACTCTCAGGACTTTGTTTTTGTAAAGCAGTTGAAGATGGAGAGATGACACGTTATGCTCTCTCTCAGTAAAAGAGGCTTTAATTGCCACCCATATCACTGCCAGTCAGCACAAACAGGTTGAGAGGTGAGATAGACAGAAAGAAGAAAGGGAGAGATGGTTGCCACACACATTTTTGCATCATCAGTCCCGACTTTTGCTCTTTTTCTGTTTTTTATTGTTTCACCCGCTCTCTCTATCTGTCTCTCTCTCTCAGTTTGACGGTTGAGCTGTGGAGTCACCCTGGAGTCAGCCTAATGAAGTAGTGCTGTCAGTCGGGCCTGGCGTGCCCAAACTCTGTTTGATGTGCTCATAAATCAAGCTGACAGGCCTGTTACTCCGCTAGCTTTAGCCACTCAACTGCATCTAATGTAAACAGCGTGCAGACACAATGTGTTAAAGAACTTGAACTGTGTCCCATGGGACCCAAACAGAGAGAGAAAGCGAAAGCGAAAGGAGAGAAGACAGGGATGAAGAGGAGGAGGAAGCAAGAGGGATAGACATGCTGAATATTGGCGTTACCACAATTCTTTCAGTTGCGTGTTAACTGAATGTTCTCTGTTAGCTTTTATCGAATCTGTCATTCTCAGAAGTTAGGGAAGAGAACAAATACGGCCCTCCACAGAGAGCTGGGGCTGGATTCACGAAAGAAAAAAGTTAAGAAGATTCTTAAGAATATTTCAAGAATTGCACTTGACATTCTCAGATATTTACAATTTTTTTGTGTGTGTTTTTTGGCACTCTTATGTGTGCTGAATGCTACTGGAAATTAGGTTGTGATTATAAAATTTAAAAAAGGTCCTTATTTGAGCTGTTTTTGTAAAGTTGTTCCTGAATTTCAAATTTAGACATGCATAATCATGACAGATCAATGTTTAAATTATCATTCAGTTTTTGTCACTTCAGAGTACTCTATCCCTAGTAATAGTAATATGTATCATACGTAGCTTGTATTTATGTAATGCTTAATATTTGAAACTACCCAATAAATTAATTCAACATCTTAACTTGGGGGATTTAAGACAATTTGGAGGTTATCCTAACTTTAAGAGGTTATTTACTATGATTTTTCAGAACATGCTTTTCAGAAATTCTAATTCTTCTTAAATCCTGTCTATAGAACAATCTTAAGTTAGGCCTTTTTTTGTAACTATGTGGGGAGATCACTAGAAATTTGGAACAAAAGTCCAGATGCCAGATTCACAAAACAATTAACTGCTATTTTCTTATTTTCTAACTTAAGAACAAAGTTAAGATTAACTTTTTCCTTAAACTTAATTATGCTACCATTTATAAATACTTGTAAATATTTCATTAAGTGGTGAAAATATTGAAAAAATAATTCAATATAGTTAAAAATGTATTCTTTTACGTAATGTTTATGTGTGGGATGTGTTTTTATTAGGGGCCAAGCACAGAAGGCACCTATTGTATCTGTTAGCGTTCATATTATTATTATTATTATTAGGGGCCAAGCGCAGAAGGTGTAGGCACTTATTATATCCATTGGCATTCTAATTATTATTCTTCTGCTTCCGCTCTGGGAGCCAATAGAACCGCTTGTGGGAAAGTTATGAAATTTGGCACACAGATAGAGGACAGTTTCAACATTGACCATAGAAAGTTTGCAATATGCAATATTTTATGAATGCATTTGTGTACCATTACGAAACTTGGTATGTGTCATCGGCACCATGCCCCGAAGTTTCTCAAAAGGTTTCAAGACAGAAAAATTTATGATGAAATAAAAAAAAAAATGCTAATAGTTTTTGATTGATTTAGCCTATTGCCACGAGACTGGTCTTATTAGATTCCTTGGGTCACGCCAAGAACATATGTAAGAACATATGTGCGCTAGTGACTGCAGTCTTTAGCCTCCTTGTTAGTGTGTCTTCCTCCCACGCCAGAGACCCAGGTTCGAGACCCACTCGGAGCAGGCGAGAGGGACCCGTGACACATAGATACCAATATTGCCATTGTAGGCCAAGCTTCCTGTCCGCCATTTTCATTTTGTTTGAAAACCTACATTTTCGAACTCCTCCTAGACCGTTGGTCCGATTTTCACCAAATTCTAATCAGATCATGTTCAGACCATGCTGGCAAAAAGTTAGGGATTTCTTGCAGCTATATTTTTTTATTAGAGACACTATTTTAAAATTTTTATTAGAGTGTTGTGCTGTTAGCTTAGCAGCATGCTAATGTCAGACTATTTAAATCAGTTGTGAGTTGAATCTCTTGTGCAAAGCACTATTTGAGTTGCTGCCTATCCCAATTTTACATTTATGAGGATTCATGATTGTTAGGATACTGCCTTTGAAGATAGTTGCTTATGTAGGTAGTAGGGAACAAAGCAGCTCACTAGGTTTTGGAAAGGGCTTGTGTTTTCTCTCTTCTCTGTTGATGTTGACCCATGTGGCCCTTTCCCATGGGGCCATGTGCCCCAGGCAGAGGTCTCAACACTTCTCTGACAGTGAGATTAAGAAACTACCTTTAATTATTTTTATTTTTTTATTTTCCTTCCCTCCTTCAACATTTTTTCTCTCTCCCCTCCACTTTTTTTCGTGCCGTTATCTTAAAGAAGATAAGACCCATCTCTCATTGGGGGAACATCAAAAAGCTTGTTGCTGGAAACAGTGGTTGGACTCCAGTCCAGTTCAGGAAGGAGGACATTTATCACCACGACACCAACTGACCTTATCGGCACATGCCATGTATTCCATAGCACTCACCCTTACCCTTACACGTACAAACACACACACAGAACTCTCCACCTCTCTGCTCTAAAAATTAGTGTGTACTGGTTGCTTTATTGTTTTAAAGGTGATATGTATCATGTATACTTTCAACAAGGTTTCTAAAGCACAACTCGTCTTCCATTTTTTGGACCAGTTTTGGTGCACTGAGGCTGCATTTATTTAATCAAAAATACAGTAAAAACAGTAATATTTTGAAAAATTATTACAATTTAAAATAATTGTTTTCTATGTTAATATATTTTAAAGTGTCATTTTTTCTTGTGATGCAAAGATGAATTTTCAGCAGCCATTACTCCAGTTTTAAGTGTCAGGTGATCCTTCAGAAATATGCTGTAATATGCTGATTTGCTGGTCAGGAAATGTTTATTTTTATCAAATTTGAAAACAGTTGTGTTGCTTAATATATATAAAGTACTTTTGTCCTACTTAATATATATTAAGTGTACTTTCGTCCTGGCCCAGACTCCCAAAATGCCATTGGTTGAGTTAATGTTGCCATGCAGTGTCACTTTAAACATCATAAATTATATGCATTACCTTTAAATCGATCTTTTCCAGCCTTTTTCGTCACCTTGGCCCTTTTTTCTGTTCCTGCACCTCTGGCAAAGATCTGATGGGTTTTTCTCACTCATGTCATGTTTTTATACAAGTTTAGGACAAGTCTTGAAGTACACTATGTTTATGTTCATAGCTGACATAGCTCATTTTTAATCTCTTTGTTAAACATCACCAGAAGTCGGCTGGAACGAAAATATATCTCTTGATAGCTGAATAATGACTGTCTGCACACATTGAGACCTGTTTATGAAACAGAGAAAGAGGGTTTTGGAATCACGCTTCTCAAGTTTCACAAAGCACATTTCATGCATAGTGGAAAAAATACCAAGCCTTATCGTAAAATGATAAACATCTGATGTCATATAATCTGGAACTGTTCTTAACATTGTGCACAGATGTTATTAGTCACTGTTTATTGCCGTGTTAATTGCACGCCAACCACATGCTAACAGATTGCTACACGCAGGAATGAACAAGCATGTTTGCGAGCGTGTCTTTGGTGTCGGTCCTAGACCACATGGAACTGTCACTCCCAGATTAATGCTTTATCTCTTAATACACGAGGCTTCACAATGCACTTCAACACTTTGAACTGCAACATTTCTCAGCATTTTGTTGTCTACCGCCACAGGAAGTGCTTTAGTGATTGGAGGAGAAAATATCTCTATTCCAGGATATGTCCTATCTAAACATGTCCTGGACAAGGTTGAAGGCTCATGAAAGCCAATGAATGTCTCATCTTTCCCATCCTCTCCATCCTGCAGCTCTACAAGTCTCTTCATCTCACTTTACCCAGTCATTTGTTTTGTTGTGTAACATGCTTCTCTCTCTCTCTCATTCTCAGCAGCAGCAGTTGGGGAATAAACAGCTGGCTTTCCAGCAGCAGCTGATCCAGATGCAACAACTACAGCAGCAACACATTCTGAATCTACAAAGACAGGGCCTGGTGAACCTACAGCCGGGACAAGGAGCAGTACCCATTCAGAGCCTGCAGCAAGGTACACATACCAATGCAGACACACACAGTATGCATACTTATCTGGCAAACAAGGCTCAGGATTGACAGTTTTCCTGCAAATGAGTAAGATGTCTGAATACTCAGTGTTTATGAGACAGTACCTGATATACTGCATCACTGAGTTTCAGTAGACACGTTGCTATCCTGTGAGGCTACAGGTGCTGCCCAGTGTGATTTTGGTATTATTTCTATACTATAATACTTTTAAAAAATATATTTTTTATTAGCTTTATTTTTATATTTGTTATTTTCATTTTCATTTTAGTTTAGTTTTTAGTAATTTTTATGTGCTTTTTTTTCAGTTTTAGTTCAGTTGTATTTCCAGTTAGTAATTTTAGTGCTTCTTTTTAAACTAAGTTGTTCACCTAATATTTATTAATTTTTATTTTATCTCATCCTAGCATCTATTGACATGTTTTTAATAGTTTTAGTTCTCAACACTGCATAAAATAATAAGACTTGTTTTCATAGTTTCTTTAATATGAGTGTATTTTGTATTTCTGCACTGGCAGATTTTTTACTTGTTTTTTATCTAGTTTATACTTGAAAAAAGTGGGAAATGTACTTGTTTAATTAGACAAAATACAATTATGTTTAAGATGAAAACAAGTATTTTATTTTATTTTAAAGACTTTTTAAACATTTACTGTGAAAGGAAGGGAATTTGGCTGAATTTAGGATTTTTATAAGACAATTTTATTGCAAATAAGTAATGTATATCTTTAAAGGTGCAAAACTCTTCCCCAGCTCTATTAGCTGGTCAATATTGACCACAAACATGTGACTCCGTCTAGCCCCAGGGTGAGGTGCTACAACCGCAGACCTCTCAACCCGGTGGTCTGTCTCTTTCACAGCTCTCCTCTTGTCCTCAACAGCCAGAAAAACACCACAGAGTGTCTGATTCGCTCCTTTCGTGATGCCTATTAAAGGAAAGTGGAGCTCTGGAGGAAATGCAGAGTGCTAAATAAATGCAGCATCTGTGTTCATACCCGTAGCCCAGGACCAGATGGCGGTCTCAGGCTGAAGCCAGACCTGTGTTCGCCGCCCACTTTTTCTTCCTTAGTCAGCCCTAACCACACACACTCTCATGCACGATCTCAGATTGCCCCGCTACTACACGCGCAACGTTGAATGCTAATAAAGCTGGCTGTAAAATGAATCCCTTATTCGTCTTCCTCCAAAATTTGGCAATGAGCTATCATCTCAATCTATTAGAGCGGGATGGAGCCCCCCGGAGACTAACTACAGCCATGTCCATAGAGCTACATGTGAAGCTTGTTAACTTAATCAGCTTATAAAGAGATAAAAGCAAAGCTTGATTGTTGGTTTTGTGGAAGGCATTCATTTGGATAATAGGTAAAATATGCCACAAAATTCACCAGACTTTGTGCACAGGCTAGGAGGGGGCTTATGTGTGTGCACCCATGAGTTTTACACGCTCCAGATGCACTTATCCTACAGAAGGAAATGGAGGTTTTGGATCATTTTTGAATGTATTTTTTCATTTTTCCTTGTTTTGTCAAAGGGCCCTACCAGAAATGGATCTTGACTGCAACCTGGCCACTGTCCGCCAAAATTAGGCACATCAACTTTTACAGGTTCCACAGCGGTCGTAACATTACAAGAGCTTCAACAGGACAGTACAAACAGGGAGGCGAATCAAGTTTCCATGCCACTCTTGCCGATAGGGCCTCCAAAATTATCCCAGTCTTTTATGAGCTTGACTCTCATTCTCACCCATTGCTCTTGACATCTCTGATTATTTCAGTCTTAAGAAAACATAGACTCAAGATCCAGAATCCTGAGTGGGCCTACCACACACACACACACATGCACACGGCTGCTTTTAGAAAAGTAGTCTGGTGGAAAAAAAAGAGAGGGAGAGTGCAAGGAGCAAGCCAGAGGAAGGTTCGCAGATTGATGAAAATAATTTTTCACGACAGCTGTAAACTTTCGGCTTTGGCACCTTTCTGGCGTAGACCCTCGCGCCCACCCCCACCCAACCCCCATTGCTTATGTCAAGGGGTCTGATGAACAATAAACTCTGGGCTCTTGGAATCCCTTCAACAAATCCTGCAACAGAGCAGAAACACGGAATTTCCCCACAATCCCTCTCTGAAAAGAAGCCCTCCATTATGACTGGCCAGCCAACCATGTGCATTCTTCTGGCTAGTCATGCTTGGCCGTAGCTGCCACTGAAAAGGATTTGTTCTCTGATCCATGGGTGGCGCCAAACGTTGTTGTTGATGTTTTCGTGTTTGTTTGGCATGTCAAACCTATTCTCTCAGAATGGCTTGAGTTTCAAACCCAAGTGACTTTTGTTTCTTTGTAATACTCACTTAACAGTTACAGTAAGTAATTTTAATTCCTGTCCAAAGGGAAGATCAACAAGATCTGTCGGACTCAGCTTAATGCTTTGTGATCACCATGCCAAACTTTTCATGATAAATGACATGATAAACCAAAGGGGAATTTGTTATGTTGCCTTGTGAGCAGTCTCATTGGCCATCTACTTATGAATATTATTCACTTTTAGATGGTAATCAGAAAGTGTAGTGTAGTCCGAGCTGTGGTGAAACAGTAGCATAAATGCTTACGTTTTATATATTACCATTCAAACGTTTGGGGTCAGTAATATTTTAAAGAATTTCATATTTTACAATTGCATACATTACATACAAATGACATGCATCGCAATTAACATACTTTTGTTCAGAAGGATGCATTCAGTTGATCAAAAATAACAGGTAACAAAATGACAACAAAACTTTGCTATTTCAAATAAACACTGTTCTTGTAAACTTTCTTCAAAAAATTTTGAAAAACAAATGTTTTCTGAGCACCAAATCAGCATATTAGAAAATTCAGCTTTGCCATCACAGGAATAAACTACATTTTTAAATATATTATAATAGAAAACAGTTATTTTAGCTTGTCATAATATTTCAAAATATTGCTGTTTTTACTGTATTTTCAAATAGATAAATGCAGCCTTGGTGAGCATAAGAGACTTCTTTTTTTTTTTTTTTTTAAACAAAGTCTTACTGAGCCCAAACTTTTGAACGGTAGTGCACTTGATGCAAGTGGTGCAGAAATTACACACTTCTTTACATTTAAAGATGAGGTGTTTAACCTATGCTGCATCAAGAAGAAATTCAAAAATAATGTCTGTTTCCAAGCAGGTTTCCCTTACACTCACCTGCCATTGGTCAAGTAAACAGGTAACCCCGTCCCAAACTTACACCATTGGTTGAGTCAGTGTTGCTATGCCAGGCTACTCATACTAACAGAGTAATGTTTTGAAAACACCACATTGTTTATACATGTCAGAGAAATCGACCTAACAATGGCTTACTCATAGTCTCTGAACATTAAGTAAAGTTTTAACGTCATGACACATCAGCTTCAATAAACTGAATACTAAATGCTAAATATTGCACAATTTCAGGAACACACACTTGTATGTAAAGCTAAGGTTGGCTTCAATGTTTTGTGTGTGTGTGAGAAATAGAGACTGTGTGGCCAACCACAGGGGAAACGCCTCACCTGGCTCTGTGTGTGTGCGACTCTGTGTGTGTTTGGAAGAAAATGAGATACAAAAACACTTCACTGTAGGTAAACCGCTCCATCTCCACCCTGTGTCCTTCCTTCCACTTCCTATGTTCTGGCTGCTCTTTCACAAGAGTAGAAACTCGTAGAAATTACCTCCCTTCCCCTGTCCACGGCAACAGTGCCATGCCACCGGGCTGGCTCTGTTATTTGGAGGGTTAAAATACATCCATGGCTCTTTAGTGCTCTGTCAGGTTGTCCTGTGACTAGTGAACAACAGCCTGTAGCTGCAAGTGTGGCCATACATCATTTCCCTGGCCCCAGGCCTGCTGGGAAGAGAGGGAGGAGGGGGGATGAAGAGAGCCAGGCCAGGCAAGGAGTTTTGTTTTGGCGGGGTCTGGGACAAGAATGCGGACGGACCAGACATAATATTTAGATTGCTATTAAGTCTTTGCCATGTAAGATAGCATAGCAGGCTGTGGCTTTTCGGGAACAGTGTGCGCCAGACGAGCTTGGGCGGCCCCCCTTCTTCTCCTCTTTTTTTACACCCTCAAATCTCCCTCCCAAACTAGACCCCCTCTGCCTTTCCAAGAGACAAAAACAATCCCGAATTCAGCAAGTTTGAGGGGGAAAAAAATGCCAAGAGAGCATCTCACCAAGATTAATTCACCCAGTGACCTGCAGTGCCGGTCGGGACAGTGATAATTACAAATGGAGGTAGCGAGGGGGATTTCTAGAGATGTTGAAAGATAACAAAACACGCTGAAATTAGCCATTTGCTTCCTCCAATTTGGAAGGGTTCCTCCTTCTGCTGTCCTGTGAACTTAACAAGTTCCACTGGGCATGCCCCTCTCCCGTAGTGAAGTGTGGCACGGTGTGCGCCTGGTGTTTTATGGCTTGCCACAATAATGTCAGAGCACTGCCAGGCTTTGTGATCTCTGGGGCAGGATGCACTGCCAGCTGGCCACCATTCAAGATGCGGTGAGGTGGAAGGGGGGCTTTGGAGGTGTGACAAGGAGAGACACAGGTTTGGATGCTTTCCGAAGGAGCTCTCGTCATTCAACACTGGGCTTATAGTCTTCAGCACAACAAAGATAAGAAAAACTAATAAACATACTGAAAAACTCTCTGCCTAGAAAAGGTTTCATCATATGGCACCTGTTGTTGACCCAGGGCTTTTAAAGCACCTTTTTGTGTTTGTGTTTCAGTGGAGATTGTGGATTATAGCACTTATAGTTTACTAAAGGTGGTAGTTTTCGCTTTTCTGTCTAAGGACTTTATGATTTATGGTAATAAATAATGATTTATAGTCTGTAGTAATCTCTTGCTTGCTTTCTGTCCATCACAGCCATGTGTCCCACTGACCTGCAGCAGTTGTGGAAGGATGTGGCCTGTGTTCAGAGCACAGAGGAGGCCATGAAACACGAGGGCCTCGATCTGACAACCAATAGCTCCAACACTACCTCATATTCAGCCTCCAAGGTCTCACCTCAGATCCCCCATCATCCTTTGCCAAATGGACTGAACTCTGTGCATACTCCAAAGAGAGACAGGTCAGTGGAAAATGCACAGGCATACCTCATAGTCCACCTGATGATTTTTTTATAGTGTGTCAATGGTATGATTAATCAAAATGAATATGAAAGGAAAAAACGAGTAAATAATAATTGCAAAAGTGAGAAATAAGATATATATATATATACAGTGGTGTGAAAAAGTGTTGGCCCCCTTCCTGATTTCTTATTTTTTTGCATGTTTGTCACACTTTAATGTTTCAGATCATCAAACAAATTTAAATATTAATAAAAACCTTCATTTAAAAACTGCATGTTGTGTTTGTTTGTGTTATCTTTTACTAATATTTAAATTAGTTTGATGATCTGAAACATTAAAGTGTGACAAACATGCAAAAAAATAAGAAATCAGGAAGTGGGCCAACACTTTTTCACACCACTGTATATATATATTATGTGTGTGTGTGTGTGTGTGTGTGTGTGCGTGAAAGTAAAAACAAGTAATACTAATTGCAAAAGTGAGAAATAAGTATATAAATGTAAATATTAAAAAAATGTGCAAAATTTAGTTTCATGGTTAGTAATAAATATTTACATTTTATCAAATAATCTGCAATTGCCAGGTAGATAGTAAAATCTTGAAACTGATTGCAACTGCAAACAATAAGTAACAACTGACACTATTGAAAGTAAGCAAACAAGTGCTATAGCTATGCTACTGTATTTTTGTCATGAGCATTCAGAGTGCAACTGCTTCATGAAAGATTTCATAAATAGATATTTTTGTCACACATATTTCAAGGTTTCTACTGTCAGGTGCCGTTTGATGAGCTGATGTAAAATGTCTGGGTTCGTTTGATATTGGTTGCTCGTGTGAGTTCCTCAGAACATAGCATGCCTTCAGCATGACTGACGCCCCTGTGCCAGTTTAGCGTGTGTGTGTGTGTGTGTGTGTGTGTGTGTGTGTGCGTGTGGAGTTGGTGAAAGGGTTCTGCGATACTTTAGCTGAGAGGTGAGCAGCTGTGTGAGAGCAAATTGGTCCTACTGTGGTGTACTCATACATTCTTTCCATTTTAAGAGCAAGACTCTTTGAGTGGATCTCGTCCTTCACCAAGGAGTCCAGTGACGAGCATCTCACGCCTTATTCCAAAGGCACTCACCTGCAGAGCACTCAGTGAGTAACACACGCACATATGTATATACACACAGGGTTACCTATCCATCTAAATGTGGACATAACTTAGACTGCTATTGTTCTTATATAAGGGTAGTTTATCAAACCTACACAAAGCCGGCCCACCCTATACATACACACAAAGACACACTTACAATATGTGCATTGTGCAAATTAATTTAAAAAAAAATTATATATAATATAAAAATTGACTGACTAATAAATGTTACATTAGCATAGCTATAGCACTTGTTTGTTTGCTTACTATACTGTCAGTTGTAAATTATTAGCTATTTATTATTAGCTGTTTGTAGTTGCAACCAGTGTCCAGATTTTACTATCTGCCTACCAACTGCTGATGATTTGAAAAAAATTAAATATTTATTTCTCACCATGAATCTAAAATTTGCATGTCATTTTAAACCTTTTTGAACATTTAATAATTTGTTTGTTTTTATTTAGTTAGTTTATTTAGCTTTTTTATTTATTTATATAGTTTATGTATGTATAGTGTGCATAACTATATAAATAAAAGCTCCAGCAAAAACGCTTTTAATCAACATTTCTGTTTTTTAATCAAGTTTTTAATCAAACTTTTGAGATTCACTTATATGGTGCTGCAGTGTGTCGTTTGCAGCAGTTCTGTGGATCTTTTTATGTAATATGGCCATTTTTACACTGGTGGGGCCTCAAAACTATAGCTAAATAAACCCACACACACCAGCAGCACTAACACACACCCCACCCTTTCATGCTACGCGGACATGGCTAAACAGAAAGAAAAATGCGCTATCCATCATGTTTTCTTCTAACACTGCTCTCCCTGACTTGGCCTAACACATTTACACACAAACACACACACACACGCAACTGAAAAGGGAAGAAAAACTGTGCGGTGAGGCTAATACATGGCACATGTGGACAGTGTGGTTGCCAGTAGTTTGTAATGTCTAGCGCTCAAGCAGCTTCTGAATTGCGTGGGCCGTCCACTGCCAGCACATCTGATGAAGAGGAGGAGGAATCGTGTGTGTGCACGCCGCATCAGGAGGGCCTCATCTGCTAGCAAGCTGCTTTATATTAAGCAGTACTCTGATGTGGAATTGGGAAGAGTTCCCCAGACCTTCAACCACCACAAGCCACGCACCCCCTTTAGCCCCCTGCCCATGCTTAGCAGCAGTCAGACACATGACGAAGGATTTTGTGGTCCCTGCCCTCACAAAAAAACCCAAGCTACATGCTAGACCGTGGCGGCTGGCCAGGCCCGAAATGAAAAATCGCTGGATGAGACTACTGGCGGGGGTTCGAGGCTGATCTGTTATGGGTCTCTACAGAAGCCAGGCCAGAGAGATCCGATCCAGACTTCTCGGCCACAGAGCACACAGTGGCTGTATCTCAAACGAAACAAGACCGTAGCATTTATCCTTCAGGCCCCACCAGTAGGCCCTGTCAGCATATCAGCAGCCACCTTATCCGTACATCTGAAGATCATCCACGTTCATTCATAATTAGATGGCGGCTTGTTGTTCCTGGCCGCATCTGAGGACATTTGAACCTGCGTCGTAGTGCAAGATGCTAATACAATGATATGCACTTACTATTGGAAGCCTGTCAGTCACAATTATGGAAAAACTGTTGTTTTTTACATTTACCAGGTCCTCTCGAACTGCATTTGTTCAAAGCTTCGTGAAGGACTGGCTCAAAACTATCGGCTTTCCTGGACAGGAAACGTTTCAGACTGTTTCCATTGCTTCATTGCTTTGTATTGGTCACATGTGTGTGAGGCTACCATGCTGACTGCCTGAAAAAATTGCAATAAGATCTTGACACCAATGGGTTGTTTTGATTAAACAAGCAGGTGTTTAGATGTTTTTAAAGAAGAAAAATATACATTATATATATATATATATATATATGTATATGTATAACGGTTTCCACAAAAATATTAAGCAGTGCAACTGTTTTCAGCATGGATAATAATAAGACATTTTGTGAGCACCAAATTGGCATGTTAGAATGATTTCTAAGATCATGTGCCATCAGCAAGAGTTCAGATGTTTTAAAGATGAGGTGTGTGATTTCTGTGTTAGCAAACAATTTTTTCCCCTAAACTCTCCTACCACTTATGTCAAGGTTTAGTGTGATGTAATCATTTATAGTTCGACTAACCAGATCCCTTTTGTCTCTTTCAGCTCAACCCACGAGGAACACACGGCCTCCCACCCACTCTACGGACATGGCGAGTGCAAGTGGCCAGGCTGCGAAGCGCTCTGCGAGGACATGGGCCAGTTCATCAAGTGAGTGACAGCTGTCCATCAAATCCATTTCACAAGCATGTAATGTGCTAAATTCATGTCAAAGCTCGTAACTCGAATAACCCCCCCACCCCCCGCCGAGCAGCAAAGCATTCATCATTGTTTGCTGTGTCCCACAAAACAAGTCTCTGGCTGTTAGCGTTACCCTCCGTCAATGCGGATTCATCCTTTTTCCGATGAGCTTGCAGATCACTTAAACTAAAGGCCTTCTCTTGTGCTGAAGTGAGTGTGGGGATGAGAGGAAAGGCAATAAGAAAGCCAGGCGACTGACAGCCGTGTTCAGGTGTGATGTTTGAACAGACAAGAGACGAATGAATTCAACAGGGATGTGGGGGGTGCAAGGTTGTTGCTGGAGAGAGCGCGAGACATTCACCAGTGCTGTGGGACTGTACTGGTGTATGAAAACAAGAGAGCTAACGCTTGATAGACAGGTATTTCACAGTCACAGAACACAATCAAAGTAGAGTGCCCTCTGTAGAGCTGCAAGCAAATTTGTAGTAGGTCACAGATTTTAAATGTATGTACACACCATTTGAACTTTATATTCATCAAAGCATCCTGAAATCCTGGTTAGAATGCTTTCTGAAGGATCATATTATGACACTGAAGACTGGAGTAATGGCTCCTGAAAATTCAGCTTTGCTGAAGTTATTTTAAATGTAACAATATTTCACAATATTACAGTTTTTCCTCTATTTTTGATCAAATAAATGCAGCCTTGTTGAGCAAAAACACTTTTTTCACACATGCTACAAAGCAGGTCCCAAACTACTAACAGTACTAATACTAATTTTAAGTATTACTTAAACTATAAGTTGATGCACTAAAGGTAAACTGACTTTGCATACCTTTTGGGCCTGTTAATTTCTGAATTCATACTATGACAGTGTGCAAAAACTCCATAATTGAGCTGTATGGTTTTCGCAAGACTTTTCCCAAAAGCGCCAGCTTAATAATTTTGCACAGGAAGCTAGTTCACACATGCCCTGCAAGTAACCATAGAGACAGATGTTCTGTACTCTTCCTGTTGACCTGTCACGTGTGTGTGTGTGTGTGTGTGTGTGTTTGTGCGTCTGATCAGGTAGCTGCCCACAGCTCTTCAATGCTGTCAGACGCCGATTAACTCCCTGCTCCCATAATTCCGCCTCTCCAACCCTGAGCTCTCCACTGCTGGGTCAAGCAAATTGTTTTCACGCTTCGTTAGTGGTTTACTTAATTAGCTCATTTACAATTAGAAGCTTTTGTTTCTTGAATACAAGCAAAGACATCAAAAGGAGGCTCCCTCCCCTCCTCTATCTCCCTTTTCCCAATCTTCTTTCTTCTCGCCATCTCTTTTCTTTGCGCGCGTGTTTGCCAGTTTGGGGTCTTTAGGGATGCTGGGGGGGCGAGAGGAGATAAAGAGAGGAAGAGATCAGACAGGGAAGGCGATGTAAACAGCCCCATTGTCTCTGTGTGTTAAAATAATGAGACTTCACAGTGGAAAGTCCTGACATGTCTGCCTGTCGCAAGGGTGTGAGCCAGACTGTTGCTGCTGCCGTTGTCCCAGTGGGCTCGAGGCTCGCAATGCACGTTCTCTCTGCTGTTTATTTTCTCTCTCTCAAAACACCTCCTTTGATTTCTGGCAGGTCAACGCCGTCTCTTACAGTAGCCGGGTGTTCTTGTCCGTTAATGAGTGGCAGTCACATCCCTGCGTGTTTATTTCCTTTGACAAGATGCTCGGCCCTCACATTGTCTTTTGACTCCAGAGCTGTGCTTCCTCGAGGGGACTGCTGTATTGACAGGCCGGAAAGATGTATGTAAATTTCCTCCAGTCGTCTCTGGCGACGGGGGAGAAGAGCGTGTTCGGTGCACGCGGGCGGGAGCGGGAAGCGCGTATAATGGTCGCTGACACACACATCAAAGAGCCGGAGAGTCTGGGAAAGTTTTAAGAGTAAAGCTGTTGTTTGGTTGCACGGTATCTCATTTCACATAGCCTCGAGGCAAGCGGAGAAGGGGGGAGAGGACGTGAGATAAGAAGGGAGGGGGTGACAGATATTACCGTCAGTGCCGTGCACCATGGCCTAGTCAGAACTCTTTAGTCATCACTAAAGACAGGAAGAGAGGAGTCGCTCTCTCTCTCTCTCTCCTTCTGTTCTTTTTGTCTATTCTATAGCCCCATCTGGCAGCCTACTCATAGTAGGAAATGAGGCCCACATGGAATCAGTGCCCGCTGAACGAACGCCCGCCATTCACACAGCTCTACACATTGCCTTGCCCCATGCATGTTCAGTTTGGGTAATTTAATAATGCTTTCAGCTTCCAATAAGGGGACGTTCACACAATGTGTTCTTTTTTCAATTGTTTTTTCAATCTAAACACGCACTAGATGGATGTTTTTGACTGTCACGCAATGGTTTTTAAACTGTTGAACTGTTCCATTAGGGAGACAAATGTACAGAAAACATTTTTGCATTTAGAAACACAAGACGAAGGTTGATGATTAGTATTGTTATTATTTAAAATTGTATAAATAAAATAAAATAACATAATCATCCTGGCCATAGCTAAGTGCCTCCTTTGAGATGAAATAATTTGCAATTTGCTACTGTAAACACACTAGTGATACTTGCCCCTCCCCCTGTTTCTTCTGATTGGTCCAGTGTTTCGAAATTAACCTTGATGTGTTAGCCTGCATGTCAACAGTTGAACTTCTTATAAGTTGACTTTGTGTCATGTGGTACTCAAGCATGAGACATAGAAGAAGCAGCAAGACATGGTCAGTGGTCAAGAATATCCACCTAGCAAATGTTAACATAGAAAAATATTAAAAAGCAGTGCAGTTTAACGCATAAAACCTTGCCCCATGCATGTTCAGTTTGGGTAATTTAATAATGCTTTCAGCTTCCAATAAGGGGACGTTCACACAATGTGTTCTTTTTTCAATTGTTTTTTCAATCTAAAACACGCACTAGATGGATGTTTTTGACTGTCACGCAATGGTTTTTAAACTGTTGAACTGTTCCATTAGGGAGACAAATGTACAGAAAACATTTTTGCATTTAGAAACACAAGACGAAGGTTGATGATTAGTATTGTTATTATTTAAAATTGTATAAATAAAATAAAATAACATAATCATCCTGGCCATAGCTAAGTGCCTCCTTTGAGATGAAATAATTTGCAATTTGCTACTGTAAACACACTAGTGATACTTGCCCCTCCCCCTGTTTCTTCTGATTGGTCCAGTGTTTCGAAATTAACCTTGATGTGTTAGCCTGCATGTCAACAGTTGAACTTCTTATAAGTTGACTTTGTGTCATGTGGTACTCAAGCATGAGACATAGAAGAAGCAGCAAGACATGGTCAGTGGTCAAGAATATCCACCTAGCAAATGTTAACATAGAAAAATATTAAAAAGCAGTGCAGTTTAACGCATAAAACATGTCCGGTAGGAACTACTAAGAGTGTAATACTCTCAGAACTTTTTAACACCATTTTAGAATTTTAAATTAAAAAAAAAAAAATCCTTTTCACAGAAATCAGTGCAAGAAATGCTGAAAAAGTCTCATCAGTTTCATCTGGACACTTTTTATCCCCAGATGAAATCTGTCTCTTGTTTTCTCTTTCTTTTTAGCTAGTGTGAGAATGATAAAACACTCATTCACTTTTAAATTAAATTTTCATCCTGTTTCTCTCTTGTTCTATTTCACACACTCTCAATCTGAGCTCTTTAATGATGTTCAGTTTTCTCTGGCATGCCAGGGCGACATGTGTTAGAGTACTCAAATCCTTTGTCGGGCTGGTTTGTGACTTTTTTTCTGTGACCGTTGTAAATGCTCCTCAAATCCCTGTTGGGGTGCAGGGAGTAAACACTGCCTCATTGTCGGGTCTCTCGGAAAAACGCTGCTACTGTTTATTATGACCCATAAAACGTGTGGTCTGTTCCTTTATTCAGAAAAAGAGAGAGACGGGGGTGCAGAGGGGCAGAGGGAGAGTAAGATGAGATGTTTTTGTTATTATCATCATGTGCTTGCGGGGAAAAATGTCTATCTGCGCCTGGATTAGTTGAGTGGGTGACATCATTGTTTTTGTTTAATTTCTCATGAGAGACCGAATGCGCACCCCTCTTTTCCTTCAGTTTTCGGACAATCAAAACAGTTGTTGTATGCGGCGGGTGTTGTGGAGATAAAGCAGGCCAGGATCCTGAGGCTGAGTGTGTATTGCGAAGGTTAAGATTCTGCTGCTCACACACTTCCGTTTGCCGCTCTCGCCGTGTGGGACCAAAACACAGTGGGCCGCCCCCGACAATGAGGAGAGTGCTAAAAAATTCCCTCACGAATAAAGGTGTCAGATGAGATTGACTGCACCAATATTAAAATTCCATCTGATATGATAAGCTGAGAATTGGCTAATAACTGATAATTGGGTGATAATAAAATTTTAACTAAATAAATAAAAAATTAAAAACTAAAATCAGGCGATTTAAATGCTACAAGTGAATTTAGGCATACTCACTACATTATGGATGTTCATTTTGAGATTAAAGATTACATTTATTAGTGTTATTAAATTATTTATATTTTTAAAGATTAAATGAAATATCTAATATTGGCCAATACTGATAACTTTCGAATAAAAAGTCTAATATAACCAGTATGGCACCGATATATTGTGCATCCCTAGATTATATTTTTTAGCCTGAAAGAAATGTATAAAGTAATCCTCAGGAAGATTTTGCTTTACAACGCTTCTAGAAAGGGAGCATTGTGGTTCTTCTACTCATATCTTCTATAATGTGCTCCTGTGACCCCTGACCTCAGAGTCATTAAACCTCACCAGGTGTGTGGTTAGAAGGTGGGAGGGGCTCCTACACACCTGGAGAAGATGAATGACATCATCGTTTGGATATAGGGATGTTTAATGGATTATAGAATTGTGTTTAAAGGATAAACTTTATTTGTCCCCGAAAGGAAATTTGTCTTGGGCAAAGTGCTACAGTGTTGTTCTGAACAGACAATAATAATAAATAAAACAATTAAAAAACATACATTAAAATATGTGTATAAGTATGAAATGTAAAATATGTACAGTGCAAAACGCAGTAAAGTGCTAATATGCTATAGGTGCGTTTATATGTGTGCAGAGGTTCATTTGTGTGATTTAAAGCGTGGGAAAGTTGTAAATAAAATGTGTGGGATGAGACAGATGGCGTAAAGGAAAGATCCAAAATTACAGACCCCAGAGTCCATCTTTGTGTCCAATCTGACACCGTCCCTTAAAGTTCTTACTTTTTTTACTTACTTTTTGATTTTGCTTTCTCATTTGGTTCTCAGCCCTGCATCATCTGTTTGTTTTGTTGTGTCTTGGAGTTTTGTTTTGGATTGCTTCATAAAGAAAACATGAATAACTAAGGGCAGAGCTCACCCATCTGAAGCAGTGTTTGATGAGTAAAACAAATGAAGTCATCTCCAGGTGTTTTTTTCCCCCCCCCTTTTCAACTCCCACTCAGAGTTCATGGCCTGCGGCACTTTCTGACAAAAAACAAAACCGTTTCCAAAATAATATCCCACTCCAGCTGCATTTCAACTGAATAACAGATACATTAGGACACTCATTCAGACCTAATATAGAGAGACATTCATGTCTAATACTATTTTCATCTCTTTCAATGAGTGACAATAAATACAAATACTTTTTATTTCTCAAAAATACACTTCAGCAAACAGCATGGTCACATTCCTGAGCGGAAAACCTCTCTTTTCACATCTTTCATGTCCTAATATTGTTTTTATTTTCTTGCGAGAGGAAATTGATTTTATACGCCTAGTGAAAAGTGTTTTCTCAAGTGGAAATCCACTATTGTTAGGGGTTTCCTCTGAGAGGGCCGTTGTGATCCCGAGAGCATTCCATTAAATGTTTCTTCTCCAAAATGGACAAATAAACTGTTATCTGTGCTCGTATTTTGATGTGGTTATTTGTTTATGTGAAGTCATGGTTTGACGCCGCAACTGGACCTCTGATGCACCAGTGACCCTCTGTATTTGGATATAAGTGTGTGTGTGTCGTCAGGACGTGACGCCCGGGCATGTAGTGTTAACACTGTAGCATACGCGGCACAAACTGTGAGACAATCCCAAAAGGCTGAGACACAGCCGTACAGTATGTGTGTGTGCACTGTATCAGGCAGGTCAGCGAGACGGTTTGTGGCAGATGGTCCAAATATGCTTACAGATCTCCCTCTGGGAGTTTAGATCGGGTCGCGGATTGATCTAGTAGACTGTGTATCAGGATATGTCATCACATGTTTGCGTTTCTCTCTCTCTCAGGCACCTGAACAGTGAACACGCCCTGGATGATCGCAGTACGGCCCAGTGCAGGGTCCAGATGCAGGTCGTTCAACAGCTGGAGATACAGGTGGGATGCGCGCACAAACGCAAAATCAACATTTCTCTGAAAATCTTGCAAACGCAATATTCAAGCTGCCCGACTACCTCTCTTCCTGCGTTTTCATTTACATTTATGCATTTGCCAGATGCTTTATTCAAAGCGAGTGCATTCGGTGTATACTTTTTGGCCTCGTAATTATGTTGCAGGTAATTGAGCCATCAGTCTCAACTTTAGTGGATCAAGGCAGAATGTGAGTTCACAAATATGGTGTATCGATGCTGAGATTTGGTCTTCCAGAATTGTTTCTCATACAAAACACATTCTCGACCAGCTGGCATGATTTTCTGCCCATTACATGCCACATGAGTTGATAGAGATCACTGGAGCTTGTAAAAGGAAGAGTGATATAGAGTGTGGGTTTGAGAAAGAGGCCAGAATATCTGCCTTTGATGGATCCCAATTAGAGAGGTTCCCAGCACCTCTCTCATCCCTCATGCCGCGGACTCTAGGCAAACCACAAATTGACAAAAAAGACTTTATTAAGTTTATTTATGTTTAAAAATGTATTTAATATAACAGTGAAAATTAATTGATTTGATTTCATTTTATTTTTAAGTGGCAGTCCCATTATAATAAAAATAATTATTGTGCAGAGTAGACTTTATTGATATTTGAAATGTGTGTGCAGAAGTCCAAAACTTTTCGCTTAAAAAAAAAAAAATAATAACTTTTTGGTATAAATTTGGGAAGAATTTTCAATGTAAGAGAATGTTCGAACAAGTAATGTAAGGTGCATTTCATTGTTATCATAAATGTGCTGTGTTTAGTGGTGGACGATGTTTTATTGTCCGTGTGAGTAATTTGTTTGGACGCAGAGACTGTCAGAAGAGTGTCTAGTGACAGTTAGGATTGGCAGACACTGACAGGACATTGGTCATGCACATTAGGTTGCATTAAAGAGACCGTTAGCTATGGGGGAGCTGCTCGCCCTTCTCAAACACGCCAAACTAAAACGCAGGTCAACTAACCTTACAGCGCCTGCAGCTGTGAAATTCCTCTGCTTTTGGAGCTGTAAATCAACATCGCTTACCAAAAACACGTCTCCTGGACGGGCTTAGATTGAGACGAGCACTTCAGACCCTCCAGCTTTACATGGCAGAACAACTTCCCATCATCACTGCCAGTCCGACAGACCTGGTAATTGGTCAGCTTCCCTTTTCTTTCCACGCCACCTCCCCTCCATGTTCTCCATCTCGTCTCATTCCCAAAAATAAACTCCTCACAACAAAGCTCTTTCAAAAAACACTGCCCTGCCAGGCACGCAGGCAGCGAGCTCACTTTGTGGCCCGCAAAGAGCGTTTAAACACGTGTCAAGATCGATGCAGGGGTGATGAGAAGTGACAAGAGAGTCAGTCCACGTCCAATGAGAAGTGACAAGAGAGTCAGTCCACGTCCAAAAGGATTTCCTTTCACATCTACCTCCGTCCTGTCACCTACTCTGCCCCCAACTCCCACACCGCCCCAGTGCCAACCCAGACCGACCAGAACCACCCTTCACCAACCTGCTGTCTCTCCCAGCATACCAGCTCAGTTTTTCCACTCTTTTTATTACCAGGCTGACCAGCATGGAGCAACCCCTCATTAAACACACATATCAGCTAATGGGTGAATAAACAGCCCAGATCTGTGGATGACTTCAGCAACACCGGGCACAGCCGCAGAGCACTAGCACAACACAACAACAGTCTAATCACATCCTGAGGTTGATTTTTACCACTCACATTTGATTAAAAAAAAAACAGACCAGTTAGTAAGCATTATTAGACAGTGGCGTTTGCTAAGGCCACCATCATACTGTAATTGCCATCACTCCTATTCGACCACCCTGAAGCCTTAGCATTACCTAGCAATGCCCAGCAACCATACATAATACCTTAGCAAGCCTATAAATGCCGTAGTAACCACATTTTCCTGACTCAAATTTTCTTCAGGAGATTATTTTTAGAATATTTTTTTATTTTAATTTACAGTCTCCAGTGAGCAGTAAAATGCAACAGTCTGTGTTTTTTTCCGTGTGAGAAATAGCACTTTTAGTGCCACTAAAGTGTATGGTGGCAGTCTTGGAGCGTTCAGTGTGTCGCCCCCTGATTAAGAGGGGCTGGCTGCCTCCACATTTCCTCTAAATGGCAGTAGGAATGTCAAACGAGGACGAGTGTGGTTACAGGGCTAGTGTCTCTGAATGAGACGCAGCAATCGAGAGAAAGAGGGAGAGGGGAAGAAGAATGGTGAGAGAGATGTTTTCTCCCGGAGGTATCAAGAGCTGTGAAACGGCATGTCAACATCCCTGTGAGCTGACTCAGTTAACAGGCAGAATGCAAAATTATCCTCACAAGAGAATATCTAAAGTCACTCTCTCCTCCCCTCCACGGCGCCCACAAGAGCGCCATACTCTATGACGACACTCGGTTTTTAATGTGCTGTATTGGCATTACAAATAATTGTACACTTGTGCTGCCAAAGCTTTAGTACAACGAAAACAGTGTAAACAGTAATAGTACAAAACAACATACACAAATTAAGGAAAATGAGACACAATATTTTTAGGTATTATAAAGTTAAGAAAATGTTTTATTAAAAGCTCTACAATTATTTTTTTTATTGTATTGTATTATTTTTTAATTTACAGATATTTGTACACATATTATAATGTTTATTTTTTTTTACATTCGTATAATACGTTTATTAATATTGTAACAAATGTATTTTTGGTATAATATTTTTTCATTTTTATATTATTATTTATTATATTATCAGCAATAAGGGTATTGCTTTGTTAGGTAGGTTGGTTGGATGTTTTGATAGCACCTCAGAATATTACATTTTTGGAAAAATCAACCTACAAATGGCTTACTTATAGTTGTCATAGCATATTAAGCTGGAAACATGAAAAAATATAAACATTTTACCTTTACATATTTGGTTTATGTAAGAAAACAGCTTTTTTATTATTAAATATGTGTGTATATGTGTGTTCTCTAGCTGGCCAAAGAGAGCGAGCGTCTGCAGGCAATGATGACCCACCTGCATATGCGTCCATCTGAGCCAAAGCCTTTCAACCAACCTGTAAGTTCATAACCTTCAAATTCTACCGTCTCGTTCTTACTTCCTCCTGTTTTGATTGTGTCTTTCTGTATTTTTTGCATGAGAAGTAACTGTTCGACACACAGTGTGATCAATGAATCAACTGTGTGAGGCACTAAAGAGCGCTCTCTGTTGGAGAACGGAGGAAGTTCTGGTTTCTTATCTGCCGTTATCTCTGTGTGTGTGTGCAGCTGAACTCTATAGTCCAATGCAGACTCATACGCTTACCTGTTCATCTTATCCTTGCGCTTTACAAAAGTAATAAATCACTTATTCAAGCAAGCCATTAAGCACCTTCAACTCAAGTGTGATGATGGATTCTTATAGATCGAGTTCTCTTCGTAGCAGCTGGTCTGTTTTCCTCCAATCCACTTTAGAGGAGTGTTTGTGTACTTAAAGATGCTTGTATTTATGCCACAGTGTAAATGAAAGTGAGTGTTTTGGGCTAGACTTACTAGATATTCCACATTGCTGCTTCATCCGCAGCCATCACAATGTGTTTCTCCCTCAAGCCACCAGCTGCCTGTGCAATTATTAGGAATCTAATGAATATTTCATGCTGAGATTGATGAGGAGTCTTATTAAAATACGAAGATGTTGAAATTAATTGTCAATTAGAAGTGGAGTGTCTTAATTTGAGGGGATATAAATGAAGGCGGAGGGCGAAAGTAGGCCACGTCTCCTGTTTGGAGACAAATTCTACAGATCAGCTGCCATTAGACGGTAATAGGAAACAGCGACTGGGCCGGGCCGAGCAACCTAGACGGAATGAGGGAGAGAGAGAATGACAAAATGATAATTGTGAGTGTGATCAAGAGAAAGAATTAGCATTAAGTGGTAAGGGTGAGCATTAGGTTGGAGCTTAGCACAAACCCGTGTGTGGCATTGACCGCTATTAAGATCGTTGGGTGTTTGGCACAGCAAACTGGCGCGGCTGCAACGTTAATTAAGTACCTGTTAAACCATTTTGCTCTCCTAATTACTGGAGATGGGCCAGGCTGGCTCCTGTGGCAATGAGAATGGAGAGAATAGAGGGCTGGCGCTGTTTAATTCGCCATATTAGCTTCAACCCCGCTACGCCCGCCCCTCCTCTCGCTCGCTCTATCTCTCGCTGCTCACACGTGCACATGATGGTTTTAATTAGAGCAAAACAAGCAACCCTGAAAAAGACTCCCTTGAGCGATGGGGAAAGCTGTTTCCTAGTGCTCCTTGCCCGCCGAAGCTAATTGGGCAGAGCAGGGCCACAATGAGGGCGGGTAACCGCAAGCGTTGTTTGTTGCCAGATTGTTGTTTTACCCCCTCCTACCATGTATCGCTTTGTTTTTGCTCCTCTTGTGTGGCTTTAATTGCAGACATTGTGTCACCGAGGAGCCTCGTTTGTGTGTGCGCGTGCCCGCTTGTGTCTGAGAAACATGATTTGCGGGGTGCTTTGTTTGAATTTCACCGGGTGAACGGGATCATCTTATAACACAACAACTCTGTTACTGTTCTTGAATGGCCCAGCCAGATCCCTGACTTAAACCCAATTGAGCATCTCTGGAGAGACCTAAAAATGGCTGTCCACCAACGTTTACCGTCCAACCTGACAGAACTGGAGAGGATTTGCAAGGAGGAATGGCAGAGGATCCCCAAATCCAGGTGTGAATAACTTGTTGCATCTTTCCCAAAAAGACTCATGGCTGTATTAGATCAAATGGGTGCTTCTACTAAATACTGAGCATTTTTCAGTTTTTCTTTTTTAATAAATCTGCAAAGATGTCAACAATTCTGTGTTTTTCTGTCAATATGGGGTGCTGTGTGTACATTAATGAGGAAAAAAAATTAACTTAAATGATTTTAGCAAATGGCTGCAATATAACAAAGAGTGAAAAATTTAAGGGGGTCTGAATACTTTCCGTACCCACTGTATATACTACAAATATTACAAATATTGTTTTAAATATAGCGTTATTATTTGTTGTATATTATTTACTATAAGATGTTTATTCAAATATTACATATTATAATAAATATTGTATTTATAATATGTATTTTAAAATATTAAATAAATATTATTATTATAAGTAATACCAACATTCTTGCAATTGGATAATAAATATTTAGATTTTTTGAGTGAATTTCGATGCTGTGTATGTCTCGTTTATAATATTACAAAAAAATTCTATATCAAATAAATGCTGTTATTTTGAACCTTCTATCAAAGAATCCTGAAAAAAAAATGTGTCATGGTTTTCACAAAAATATAAAGCAGCACATCTGTTTTTAACTGTTTTTAACACCAATTTAGCTTATCAGAATGAATTCTGAAGGATCATGTGACTCTAAAAATTCAGCTTCGCCATCACAGAAATAAATTACATTTTGAAATATATTAAAATAGAAAAAAATATTTTAAATTGTAATAATATTTCACAATATTACTGTTTTTACACTTATTTTTTACTCCTTAGTGAGCGTAAGAGACTTCTTAAGATCGTTGGGTGTTTGGCACAGCAAACTGGCGCGGCTGCAACGTTAATTAAGTACCTGTTAAACCATTTTGCTCTCCTAATTACTGGAGATGGGCCAGGCTGGCTCCTGTGGCAATGAGAATGGAGAGAATAGAGGGCTGGCGCTGTTTAATTCGCCATATTAGCTTCAACCCCGCTACGCCCGCCCCTCCTCTCGCTCGCTCTATCTCTCGCTGCTCACACGTGCACATGATGGTTTTAATTAGAGCAAAACAAGCAACCCTGAAAAAGACTCCCTTGAGCGATGGGGAAAGCTGTTTCCTAGTGCTCCTTGCCCGCCGAAGCTAATTGGGCAGAGCAGGGCCACAATGAGGGCGGGTAACCGCAAGCGTTGTTTGTTGCCAGATTGTTGTTTTACCCCCTCCTACCATGTATCGCTTTGTTTTTGCTCCTCTTGTGTGGCTTTAATTGCAGACATTGTGTCACCGAGGAGCCTCGTTTGTGTGTGCGCGTGCCCGCTTGGGTCTGAGAAACATGATTTGCGGGGTGCTTTGTTTGAATTTCACCGGGTGAACGGGATCATCTTATAATGGAGTCACTGTGCCAACTGCTTTTGGCATGGATGTGCTGGCAAGGATCGCAGGATGTATCTCACAGCAGGAGACCAATGACAATTTGAAGATGATTATATTTCCTGGTTGGTAATTGCAATGCTGGAGATTAATGTACACCACAAAGATGATGTGAATTAGAATCGAGGCTGCGCTGAGACTTAACGTGTGCCAAATAGAGGGAACAAATCATTTATGTTTTGCACTGTCATTGTTTTGTGCTATTTCTGGTATTATGTATGTACATATGAATGTATGTTTTTGTAAGCAAAAAAACAACAAGCTAATAGAAGTAAACATTTAATATTATGTATCAAATGCAATACAATATTTCCTCTTCCTGAATATAAAACATACTTTAAGTTTTAATGATTTTTCCCAACAATTACCTGCATTATACACATAAAGAACCTTATAATTTTATGAAATTTGACACTGAATTCTGAAGGATCATGTGACTCTAAAAATTCAGCTTCGCCATCACAGAAATAAATTACATTTTGAAATATATTAAAATAGAAAAAAATATTTTAAATTGTAATAATATTTCACAATATTACTGTTTTTACACTTATTTTTTACTCCTTAGTGAGCGTAAGAGACTTCTTGAGAACATTTATAAAATCTTAGCGACCTCAAACTAATTTTGATTGGTAATTTTTATTGTAAATATGTTTTCAATTTTGTTCCCTCTCACCTAGTTGAACCTGGCCTCTAGTGTGTCGCTGTCAAAAAGAGAAAGTGAGGGGTTTCCTGATGGCTTGCCTCATCCCCCCACCTCTGCCGCAACTCCCATCACCCCCATGAGGCAGGGACCCTCCGTCATCAGCTCCTCCAGCCTGCACGGAGTCGGGCCCATCCGTCGGCGCAACTCCGACAAGTTCTGCACCCCCATCGCTTCAGGTCAGTGTCCCTCCACACAAAATCTAACTCATCATACTCTACATATTGACTTCTACAACACTGAAATATGTATGAAATAATTATGGCTGATTTTGTGTCTGTCTGTTACAGAACTTGCACAGAATTGTGAATTCTACAAAAACGCTGATGTCAGGCCTCCATTCACCTACGCCTCCCTCATACGACACGTAAGTCAGCCTGTGTGTGTGTGTGTGTGTGTGTGTGATGTAGAGATCTGGACTGTCCGCTCTTGCTCCAGTACACTTGAGTGAAGTTCAAAGGTGTGTGCTGGTAACTAAGGATTTATGCGCATCTCTTAGCTCAGTGTCAGTCATGCTGAAACGCACAGCACTATCCATAATGCACTACCTGCCCGTCTGGAAACAGTCCATCAGCTAATGTCTCACTAATAGCAGCCATTTGAATCACCTCTTGACACTTGCTCACTTTCTCTCTTCCGCTCTCTCTCGGCTTTATTCAACCAGGCCATTCTGGAAGCCCCTGACCGACAGCTGACTCTAAACGAGATCTATAACTGGTTTACACGAATGTTCGCCTATTTCAGGAGAAACACAGCAACATGGAAGGTAATGTCCCGTTAAGTGAAAAAGTCAATATATTTTGCACCATAGACGTCTATAATATTTGAAGTAATACTTGTTAGCATTCCTATTCATCGCGATGGCAGGTGCTTGACTAACACAGGAACCACCTGAAGTATTATACACACTAACGTTGAAAAGTTTAGGCTCAGTAATATTTTTTTAAAGATATTAATATTTTTATTCAGCAAGGATGCATTCAATTGATCAAAAGTGACAGTAAAGACAATTATAAAATTACAAAAGATTTTTATTGCAAAAATCAGTTCTTTTGAACTTTTATATTTATCAAATAATCTTGGAAAAAAATGTATCACAGTACAGATGTTTTTTTAATGCGGTTTAATATCTTGAGAATGTATTTTTGATTTAAAAAAAGCCTTCTTGAGCATAAGAGAGAAAAACAAACAAATAAACTTGTACTTTTGAATGGTAGTGTAAATTTCATTATTTACATATTGCTTGCAAAAATCAAGACATTTATCATAGACATTTGCTAACCAGCTTAACCCTGACCCGTGGTTTTGCACCACTAAAGCCAATTTTTGACCTCCAAAAACAGTAAATGTAACCCCTTTGAACTAAGAATGAAATATTGTTCTGCAGTTATTTGATGTTTTTCATTTTTATGATTTGTGTTAGACTTTTTTGTTTAGTTTTTTATATACATAGATTTTTGTTGTCAAATACTGAACAGTTTATTCAAGTATTTAAACATTTCACAAAGTTTTGCCAGTAAACTCTGTTTGGATAGCTTTGTAAAATGTTTTAACATCATCGCAATCGGCCTCTGTACCCTAAGTTCTAGGAAACTGCCAGTCTACAGCGGTCACAATGTTTAGAAGCTCTGGCTAGTCCATGCTTGCCTCCTGGCAATGAGGCAGAAGCGCTCCTTCTTTTATAAGTCTCTCAGAGATAAAAACAGAGCAACAGACGCAGCCCATTGTTCAACACGACCCAAACAACAATAAATCCTCCCTTCTTGCCAAGGGGTACAGCGGGTACAACAGAGATACGGCCTTCTGTAGAGCTCCAATAACATTGAGGTTATTAATGACACCTGGCATCACACAGACAGCCAAGTTACGACCTGGCCATTCCCAGATCTGTTTTTCTTTGTTTTTTTTGGTGTCCTGATGTGCTCTCCTTATTGTTTTGATTGTGTTATGTGGCATCGGCCTGCCTAATGGTGTTTGGTAGGCGGGAGCAGGAAGTTCAAGTCTGACTCATTCAAGTCCGTTTCCTTTGCACTATGTGCTATAACTGTCACTAGAAAGTGTCAAAAGACCCCCTTAAATTCAGTGATGCATAAATCAGTCTTTGCATAGTCAAATGGCTGCCTGCTGTGTGTGCATGTGTATGCATATACCAACACAGTCTGTGTTTTATCAGTCCATGGGCACGTAGCGTTGTAACCCTTATCAGACAGTTTAATTTGTACCGGTTGATTAGCATGCGCCCCACTGGTCCGCAGCCAGTTCTGTATCAGCTCTACATCTCCTGACCAGCTCCGACATGCAACACTCCACTGGATCCCACCACAGGAGCGCAGCTCTCCCCTGAGCACAGTACCTAGTCCCTATGAACCAGCTGCTGTCATCCCTCTTCCCTCGTCCACCTGTGTGTTTTCGAACCCTAAACTTTGATGTCCAATCAGCTGCTTTTACCGCATGACTCTCGGTTTCATGTCACCCAAGGCTAGCTGATACTAGACGTGTTGCGTGTGCACATTGTAATATAAAGATAACACTTCAAGTCAAGTCAAACTTTATTTATAAAGCACATTTAAAAAACAGAAGTTAAACCGAAAAGATGTATAATTTAAGACTAATAGGGGAAAAAGGAATAAATAATAATAATGAATATTATTAATATTCTACATATTATAAATAATAAAAAATATTAAATATGAATAAATACAAATATTATTACAAAATATTATATTATAGAATAAAATAACAATTAAAACTTAATAATAACAACAATAAAACTTTTACTCAATAACCATGTTTAACTTGGTTTACATGTTTATGTTTGTTACAAGTTTAACATGTTTATGTTTAACTTTTTTAATTATCTAAACGTACCTTTATTCCTTGACATTTTAATAAGCAATATTATTAATTAGTAGTAGTAAGGATTCTGCTAATAATAGTAATAATACATATTGTTAATATTCTACATATTATAAATTATTTAAAAAAAAAACATTAAATATTAATAAATAAAATTATTTTTACAAAAAAATATAATATGTAATAAAAAATTTAAAATAAAACTTGGTTTACATGTTTATGTTTATGTTACAAGTTTAACATGTTTGTTTGTTTAACTTTATCTAAACATACCTTTATACTGTGACAATTTAATAAGTAATATCATTAATTAGTAGTAGTAATGATGCTGCTGCTAATAATAATAATAATCATCATCATAGAACTAAACTACTAAAATTTAATAGCAATATAAAATTACTTTTATGATATTGTAATTATTATTATTTAAATATTATTACATCATTATAATCATAAGTCTAACTTAACCATGTTTAACTTTTTATCTAAACTTACCTTTATGAAATTTTGCCTCCAGTCACCCCTTTCTCTCTCTCTCTCTCTCTCTCTCTCTCTCTTTCTCTCTCTCTCTCTCTCGTTTTCTGTCCAAAGTGAAGAGCAGAGTGGTCATTAAAGACCTGGGCCGACCATGTAACTGTCCCATTTAGCGGACCATCTCCCCATCACCCTGCTTAGCCATTAGTTTACCCCTCAGAAAGATGTGCTAATACATCCCTCCCTTCCCAGCACCTCCCACCCTCCCCCTCTCCCTGTGGACTAGGAGCTTGGAAAGGTGCTGTCAGGCCAGAGAGGAAACGGACACCGTGAAGAGTAGCTCGCTTCCTGTCAGTCAGTCTCCTCATTAGGCATTCACATGGCCTATAGCCTGGAACCTGGAGCCTGGGCTGAGGAGGTGCTGCCCCACATTCAGCCAACACTGGCCCAAGGCTCATTTGTGTGCCTGAGCCTCTGGAGGGGAGAAAGTAGGGAGAGAAACAGAGAAGGTGAGGTGAGAGAGGGACCCAAGGAGGCTGAGGGCATCGAGACAGAACAGCGGGCTAATAGTCTTGAACCGCAGTGGCACCCAGGAGCAGTTAGTGAGCTTAGCCAGTGAGAGTTGAGGGGAAGGAGGTGAAAGTGGCAGGAATATCTTTAATAACTCATTTCACTTTTATGAAATTTAACAATTAATGGATCCGTCGTCTTTTCCTCCTCAACCAGAGCCAGATCTTTTTTTTCCCTCCTATAGTACCTTTTCACACTCTCTCTCTTCTTTTTATTTTAATAACTGCACATTCTCACTCGTCTTCCTCTCTAGCCAGTCATTTGGCCCGGTATTAAATATAGAAATGGAGATGCATGTTCTCCGGTGCTCTTAATGGCCATCTATATTTCATGAAAAGTCAGGTCCAGAGAGTAGGGGAAGTCATTGATCAGTTAGAGGGCGGCTTTTATTCATAAGATGGACACCAGCTGGGTCATTCTGCAAAACCGCTGCTATTTGTGTCCCTCATAGGCATATATGTAAAAATTAATTTAACAATGAAGAGCTGATGCTAACTTTTAGTAACTGTTACTATACACATTTTTTTTACAACATCTCCTTGCTTATTAGCAAATACAAATTAATTTTGATGAAAACCAAATGTATTTTGTTTTTGTTGTTGTTTTTTAATATTTTAAAATGTAATTTAATCCTGTGATGGCACAGCTAATTTTCAGCATCATTACTCCAGTCTTCAGTGTCGCATGATCCTTCAGAAATCATTCTAATATGCCTAATATGAAGCATTTCTTATCATTATCAATGTTAAAAACAGTTGTGCTGCTTTATATTTTTTGTTGAAACCATGATAGAGGATTTTTTGATAAATAGAAAGTTCAAAAGAACAGTGTTTATTTGAAATGGTATAGTATTTTGTAAAATCATAATTGTCTTTACTGTCACTTTTTATCAATTTAATGCATCCTAGCTAAATACAAAGTAAATTCCAAACTTTTGAACAGTGGTGTATATATAATGCAATATGTGTTTTGTATCAACCTTGTTACAATCATATTTAATCCTTTTTTTTTTAAGTAATGAGCTCTTCTATTACTGCAATTTATTAACACCGCAATACATTATTTGTCTCACAGAAGGTTTAAGTACTTTATTATCAATCAGGAAAAGACGTCCGTTTCATAGAATGACCCAGCTCTAAATTTCTCTAGATTTCTCAGCACACACACCTCCTGCATTTAAAAAAAAATTTTGGCTTATGGAGATGTTACATAGCAGCGTCTGTCAGCAGTTTGTATAATTCAGTCTTTCATTAACTTCCCCATTGCTTTTCTGAATTTCACAGTAGTAGTTTAACTAATGATCGTGTATATAAAGTGGGGAATATTTGTAACCCACACTGATCATTTCTCTAGGCCTTGTTCTTGTAAGGAATATTAAAAGCTGATTTTTGTTCACATACTCTCTTCCTCAGTGGAGGATTTATCCTGGTGTCTGCAGGAAGCATTTCATTACGCTTGTATGTTGCTACTTTCTTTTGTATAAGGCCACAAGTATCTAGATTGAGTGTCTTGGTATCCTTGGTAAGCTGTGTAGTTTTTAAGCCCACTGTGCCTGAAGTTGACTCATATTTACTTTCTTAATGCAAGTCCCTGGTCCTATGAGCGATTCAGTGGTGAAATAGCCTTTTGTGATATTTTAAAAAAACGAATAACCTGAATATCCAGTTTCACTCAGAAATTGCAGATGTAAAACAGGTTGTGAACACAGTTTCAAACAGTGCAGTACATTCACTGCCGCTGTTCATTTCTAGGATAGAATGGTGGCCGTAGTGTCGTCCCTCTTCATGTGGACGCCGTCACCAAAGGAACCGAGGCCAGTTTGACATCCGCATCAAGCGTGCCATCTTTCTAATATAGCCGCCACCCCTACAGTCACTCATTCACACACACACACACACACACAGCCAGGCGGGCATTTTGTTTATGTCTGCAGAGGCTGACCCCCTTTAAATTGCTGCTAATGTTTTAACTGGGAGAATTAGTCTTTCATCACGGATGGGAATGCAAATAAAATCGGTGAGGTGGCAGGCTGAAATTGGGGTCATACTCATTTGCAAAACTAAGCATCATCGCTCCTGCACGGGGAAATTTATTCAAAGGAGGGAAGCCTCGCCTGATTATGGCACTTGTAATTATGGTTAGGAGTGATTCCAGCATCAGCAGTCCCTCCCTCATGGATTCAGTAAGAAAAAAAAAGAGTGCATCGAAAAAAATACACAGGATTTAATTATACACGAATTAAAATTGGTAATGAAATTGGGCATGAACAAACGACAAATAGCAGATGAAAAGGAAGGGGTCTCCCTTGGGGGTGTTATTCTAGATAGTGGCTGATTAGTGAAATTTAAAATAAAAAAAGCAGGGGGTGGGTTTGCTGATGGTGGAGGGGGGGATAGTGTGCATCGCTTCTTATTTTTTTGCGTTCAAAGATGGAGTTTTTTTTTTTTTCAAACTCCCACTGTTATGATGGTGTGGCACCACATTGTCACATCCCCTCGGTTGAATGTGCACTTAATTGGTTGTGTGTGTCTGTGAGATGGTGCGGGCGGGAGGGGGACGGGTTCGAGATGGAGAGATACGCTCAGTCGACACGTCTTATAGCCGTGCTATCTTTTGTGCTCATCATCACGTGCACTCTTTTAATTAGAAAGCAGGTATAAGATTTATGCCATTATTAAAGGCTGTTTATATCAGACCTCGATATAATTGCATTTCCAGCAATGACAGCGACGCGGTCGCGATTCTGCTTAAGATACCTACGGTGTCGAGTTGTGGCTGGAACGAGAGACTGACTGGCTTCTTTTTGCTCTCTGTCTTCTCTGTATGTCCCGTCACTATTACCCAGAATGCTGTGCGCCATAACCTGAGTCTGCACAAGTGCTTTGTGCGGGTCGAGAACGTCAAGGGTGCTGTTTGGACCGTGGACGAAGTGGAATACCAAAAGAGGAGACCACCAAAGATGACCGGGTACGTAGACTCAGATTGGTCATCTTTAAAGGGATTGTTCACCCAAAACTTAAGTTCTTGTTGCTCCAAAAAATGCTGTTGTCTCCAAAATTATCAAAAAAATTATCATAAAAGTAACATAAAAAGGTCTATACGACTCATGCACCATGTTCAAAGCCTTCTGAATCTAATCCTATTACATTTATGGTAAAAACTGGCAGCTGTGTTTGCCAGAAATTTACAGTAGTAAAAAAAAAAACAAGACAATAACGAGATTCTTATATTTCATTATGTGATATAATGTTAATATATCTCTAATCAGAGTAAGAGGCCTGTCCACACAACATGACCAATAGTTGTATATAGATGGTGCACAGGGTCATACTGTACACACAAAGACAATTGGGAACACACATGACACTACAATAATGCCAAAAAACATTAACATGAAACATTTTACAGGAAAATAAGAAGAAAGAAAATGATTTATATACAATACAATACAATATTGATATCATTGATGTCAAAATAGTTGTGCTACCACTCTTGGCTTCCTTAAGAATGAGCCTGTCTGAGATCATACTAGTCACAATAACCTGTGAAATTCTGGATTAAAACAGCACTCTTTAAGTGAAGACTTTTTATTGAGTGGAAGTCCCAAAAACAGGCTTTATTCCTGTAGCAAAAGTGTAAGCTTGTAGGTCTGCTCTGTAAGTGGGGCTATAATCGTTATTGGCATGTATGATTACCTTAATGGGCTTCCCATCATTACCCTATTACTGACTCTCTAGTCAAAAGCACAAAGGTCTCTTTTGTGCCTCGCCTCCTTGTGTTTGGCTGTGTGTGTGTGTGTGTGTGTGTATGCGCCTGTGTATTTTTTCCGTCTGTGTCTACACTGTTTAGGGTACATTGTGAGCAGATGCACTGCAGAAAAGCATGCCTGCTTGCATTTGTACAAACAGATGTTACACAGCGTCTCAAGCTCTGCCAGAGAGACGATGGCAAATTACCCAGCCGACGGCCTGCGTGCCAGATTTCAGCCCTGTAGCGCACAGACACAAAAGCGAACAAACAGTAGTGTGTGTGCACTATATGCTGTGTCAGAATGCATGTGCTGCTCTCCATTGTTTAACTTTTCTATTTATCTCTTGTAAATAGAATAGTGCCTCAGCATTTTTCACGGGTTTGGGAGTGTTTTTTTAACACACGCTTTGGTCAGATGTGTTTTGTTTTAATCCACACATGTACTTAATCACCCTCTCTCTTTCTTCTCCTTTTCAGAAGTCCCACTCTCGTGAAGAATATGATTACTGGGCTGGGATTTGGCTCCCTGAATGCCAGCTATCAGGTGAGTACGTGTGTGCCTTCAGTACATCAAATCGACACCTTTATGCATTCATACACACGCTCATCAGCATTGAAAATTATGGGGAAATATATCCAGCTACATTAAAATGTAGATTTTAAAAGTCATCACAAATAACCTTTAAAAAAAACATATATATATATATATATATATATATATATACATACTTCTATGTATGTATATATAAATGTATATTTTTTATTATTTTATTTTACGCTGCACGGTAAAATATTTAATCGGTTAAATATTGCTTCTGGGTTGAGCAAGCCATAGTGCCTCATATATGAATGAACCATTCTTTTGAGTTGGTTCTTTTCAATGATTTGGTGAAACTTGTTAAATCATTCTGAATGATTTGTTAGCGAAGTGGTCTGAATTAGAATGATTTTTAAATTCCGATTATTACAAGCAACTTGAAAGTACAGGGTAAGAGATATACATTTTTCTAGTTACACTATGCCCTAATTTTTTGGGCTAAATATTACTCTCAGATAAAGTAAATATTTTGATTGTCTGATTTGTAAATAAATGTTTTAAGTCTTCTCGAACCAGTTCAGAGTTTGATCTGAATTATCATAAAATCTTTAAAATTATGAATATTTCTAAATATGACTATAGATTTTTCTAGAGCTCTGAAATATTTGGTCTGCCTTGGGTAGAGTGAAAATTGCCATAGTGAGATCTGATATGTGAACGAATCATACTGTACTTTTCAGTTTATTTCAATGAATTGGTCTAAATGGTTCATTAGTGAATCTGTCTGAATGAGCAAAGTAGTTTTAAACAACTGGATAGATCCTGGAAAATTCATTCCTCAGAAAGTGTGGAAATCCTGCAAGGATCAGGCCAAATCAAGCGCACAAGGGCGCTAATAATAATTTCCTCTTCTAATTAGCTACTTCTCCCAAACCTCCTCCGTTCTCCTCCCTCCATCGCACACGCACTCCCAGCCAGCCATATGTGATTTATAGCATCAAATATTTGTCAATGAAGGTCATAGCATAAAATTAGTATCTGTCCTAGAAAATCCGTCTGAAACCCGCAGTGTCACCGTGACTCTCGTTCGGAGCTTTCAGAGCCTAGCTCTGTGTTTCTGTGTTCGTGTGTGTGTTTTTCCCAAGAACGCTGTGTGACGAGACAGAGATGGATCTGGGAGGTTAGCCTTTGTGCTTGAGTCCTGGTCTGGGTGTGTGAGCATGTGTGGCGCTCTGTCAGGTCTGTGACCATCCATCTCCTCACAGGACAAGCAGTGTCAGCGCCTGACAAACAAACAGCCCTGCTAATCACGGGCCAACACACACACACACACACACACACTTCCACCGGCCTGGCCCAGTTTGTCTCGCTCTGACCCCGCAGGCCATCTCTATGGAAATGGAACTGCTCATCCTGAAAAGGCCGTACATAAACTAGCCTTTAACAAATTAGCAGACAAACAGTGGAGATCTCTGATGCGCACAAAAACGCCCTACCAGAGTGTGAGAGAACTGTGGCTCTCTGCTAGTGTTCCATTTGTAATTCCTTGAGTGTGTTACGTGTTTTAGTCTGCATATGGTAGGCACAGTCTCGCCTGTAATTAACCTTTTAAAAGTGATTCAACCTGGCCATCTCATTAAACAGGCATTAAGCATGTTTACCCTATTGGATCTGTCTGTTTTTGCCAAAAATTGTAGGTGGCTTCCAGTTAATTATAGTTTAAAGGGTAAAAATGAGCCCTTATTTGGTTCACATCCTTTAAACGTTGTGTGACCCTGATCATCTTTCTCGCCACCACCCAGTCTCCACAGAATCAGAATGAATTTCCCTCAAACTCTTTTTCATTTCTGCCTCTCCCTCTCTCTCTCTGTTGTTTTTTCTATCTCTCTCTCTCTTTCTCTCGCTGGCATATTTTGGGCAGTCTATAGTTTGAGTTGGCATGAGTACCACATGATCAGTTTTCAGTTCAGAAGTGACTGTAGAAATGAAGGAAACCAAGCAGAACCGTTTTCCGTTCCACCTTTCCTTCTGAATTAAAATATCCATATGCGTAGTTGTTTATGTAGATTTGTTTGTAGTAATATGAATTTACCATACTTACATGGATTTACCATTACTTCTGACTTGGATCTTGTTTGAAGTTTTTTGTTTAGTTTTTTTTAAGCAGTTTATAGTTATATAACTCTTATACCTTATATATCTATAAAGCCAGTCCGAGTGTACAGTGTAGTCAACAGAAAATAACTTTTAAAAATGTACAACATAGTTATAAATGCCAATACAAAGATGAATGATGTAATGAAAGATGTTATGTGAAGTTAAGATATATTTAGTATTATTACTAATAATAATCTATAAATCATCTTTAAATTAATTTTAGATTCAATGTACTCAGTTTGTGCTGATAATATAATTTTAATTTAAAATATGAATATTAAAAATCATATTTAACAATGTATTATATGATGCAAAAAATTTTAACTGTAAAGTGAAGTAGACGCATTTTTGCTAGTGTTTTTAGAATTTTGGACCTTACTGTAAGTGTCTTTTTTCTGTTACTGTTTTTACTTAATTTCTTTTCCCCTTTACATAAAGATTTTAAGCAAACAGTGAAATAATTAAAGTATTACCAAACACTATAATATACTTTAATGTATATCATGTGTTAATGAGTTTTGGAGTTTTCATTGGGCAAGTGGTGAGCACATGTGTAACAGGAGTGTGAGTCTGTGTGTTTCTGGTGGTCTCAGCGAGCAGTCAGGTCTGTTGTATGGAAGCGAGGAGACCCCTAGTGGTGACACAAACTAACCTGCTGCACCACTGCTGCCAGATTTCTCTTAAAACGCACAGATTACATCTATCCAGTTAGCACATTTATCTTTTATTAATTAATAGGAATTTTAAATCAATAAATACACACATTCCTCTGCAGGATGCTTGTTGGTATAGTGGCCATTGTCAGTGTAATGGTGGCACCAGAGGGCTTTGTGCACGAGTACACCTTGCAGTAATCTTCTTCAGCTTATATATGACTTTAATATTTTCACTATAATGACCTTTCAGACCTCCCAACTGTAACATCAACAATGCTTTATGATTTTACAGCAACACAGCCATCATTGCATCTCTCTTAACTTTTTATTAAGACTAAACACTATAAAATTGTGTGTGCAGGCTGCACTTGTGGAGAGCAGTCTTGGTCTTCTGAACAGCCCCACCCTGATGAACAACAGCACAGGTGCGAGCCTCAACATGCTGCATGTCTGCCACGATGATGTCAGCAGCACTGTTGAACAAGTCAACAGTAATGGCAGCTGCAGCCCTGGCCTTTCTCCGCAGCAGTATGGGTAAGACTAGTCAACCCAGCTGACTAATTACTAGTGCCTTGATATGTAGTGCATTTCTTAATGCTTTACTGAATAAAGCAGTGTGAAGCTTTAATGAAACGACTGCAAAAAAATTTAAAAAAATCAATACACTACCATTCCAAAGTTTGAGATCTTTAATATTTTTTCATGCTTTTGTCACTTATGCTTACCAAGGAGACATTTATTTGATCAAAAAATATAACAAAGACATTATTATTGTGAAATATTAAATAATTGTGTTCTATTTTAATATGTTTTAAAATTTTATTACTTTTGTGATGCAAAACAGATTCAGAATCATTACTCCAGTCGTCAGTGTCACATGATCCTTCAGAAATCATTGAAAACAGTCAATATTTAACTTTCCTGCTTAATATTTGTGTGGAAATCATGATCTTTTTTCAAGATTTTTTTTGATGAATAGAAAGTTCAAAGGAATATCATTCATTTGAAATAGAAATCTTTTTGGTCACTTTTGATCAATGTAATGCATATCTGAATTAAAGTTTTAATATCTTTAAAAAGTCATACTGACCCAAAACTGTTGAACTGTAGAGTATATAATTGAATTTATTAATTATTATAATAATCATAATAAATGTTATACATAATATAATATCATATAAATAGTATATAATATTTTATGTATATAAAGTTTCTTTCTTAGTGAATTACAAAAATTCTAAATTTAAAGAATTGTTTTTCTATATTTAAAAACAATTTAACCATTTTTTAAAAAGTGACATCTGTTTAAGAAGTGTTGCATATTTAAAGGTTTATCTCTCATTTGAATTTGTCATTCTTCTGTAAACTCCGTAAGACTGACTTGTTGCATGTTATTTTTGTTTCAGACACCATGTCCACGTGAAGGAGGAGCCAGCTGAGATGGAGGAGGACAGCAGACCCGTGTCCCTCATGGCAACTGTCACACAAAACCTGTGCATGCCTGGTGATGAGCGCGACATGGACGAGGAGCTTCCCACAGAGGAGCTGGAGTAGGAGGAAGTGTTGATGGAGGCGGAGCTCACTGGCCCTGTCCCTCCTCGTATTCAAGATGTTCAAGATCAAGTGAGAAAACAAAGATAAAAAACCAACTACAACTTCAGAAACCAAAACAGGGTTAGACCTCATCAGTTCCCAATGCAAAAACACGTCCCCCACTCCACCCTTAATTTTTTGTTTCCTCAGTCAGTCCCCTCGAAAAGGCTCTTTGAGCAGCTGTGCGTTCATGTCCTCCTGTACTTTGAAACATGGTCTGATAGAAGTACGGACCACCGTGTCTAAAGCTACTGAGGGAAACCTGACGTCAGTATACAAGCTTAGTCATTTTTTCCCACAAGTCACTCAAGTTTTCTCTATTTTAAGTCGTTTTTAGCTTTAATTTTTATGTTCTTTGGGCCTAAGAACACTGCTTTTCCATGGGATAAATACACAGCGGTGATTTACCTCAGAAAGATGTTCACATGTTTGAAAAAAAGAGGAAGAAGATGACAAACACACATCTTTAGAATGACTTGTTCAAGGGGATGCTGCAAGACTCAGTAACTTTGCGGTCACACAAATAAATTCACCACTCTCGACAAAGGCAAAGACTGAAACAAAACGAGCTGAATGACTGGCAACGGTATCCCTGGCCATCTAACCAACTCATTTTTTTTTTTTCTCCCTTCCATGACTGGACTAGAGAAACGGGGAGCGCGTTCTGTCTCAAGGCAGTGTTAGCCTCCGATCAGATGGCGGTTGCTTGCGCTGTCCCTGTCTTTATCTGATGGTATCCGCAAGAATCTGCCAGAACGTGTTTTTTCCCCTCGCTCTTTGTCAAACTAAACATAGAAAACGTTGCTACCCCCAAAAAAGGCGTATTTCAGGAAACTGAACTTTTTCGCTGTTGTTCTCCTGTGGTGCTGTTATGACAGCCAGACTGATATGAGGCTTGTGGAGGACCAGCTTAGAGACTTTATTGACTGTATTGTTGATTATAATACATAATATGTGTGCAGTAGCTTTCGATTTCATTTTATTTTCATAGTCATTTATTTCTAAAGGATCAACATTTTTCATTGTGATGTAATTCAACTGTTGTCTTCTGTTAATGATTGTTTTGTTTTGTTTTTTGAATTCTCTCATCATTCCAAAAAGGGGTTCCATTTAGGAGAGACGTTCCAAAATCCTTTGTTCTACAAACTCCCCCCAAAAAAAAAAAAAGTCCAAAACTTATCCTAGTGTTGGATCACAAGTATTTGAGGATAGCACTTATAATTAAGTGAAAACTTCCAAAACAGAACCACAGATGAAATCTAACATTAAATACCAACAAAACCACTCAATCATTTCTTTAGCAGAGAGAAGCTGAAACTAAAGAGACAGAGGTGGAATACACATTGCAGGGCTCCCTGTAAGATCCTAGAGAAAACTTTACAGGCACTCATATCTCTCTTTTTTTTCACAAATTTGCTTCATTTGTTCATTTACTTAAAAATTTTAGATTTTATTTTCCCAGATTTGCGCCATTTACCTTGCTCGTTTCAGAATTTTCTATAGTAGCCAATTGATATCAGCTGTGATACAAAATATTGCTTTAATGTAAAAGATAACACGGTCACGGAATACCTCAGACCACAGTGTTTGCCCCTCACGCTGTTATTACAAAGGGGATTTGTACTGTGGCTAACCAACATGGTGACTCTCCCATTATCAGTTCAAAGTCCTATAGTTACTAGATATATAAAAGTTATTTGCAATTCACTGTGTGAGTAGAAAGTGTCTGATTAGCATGTGAGATTTTGCTTTCACTGAACTATAAAAAAAATATTTTCTCAATAGTGCCATGCCAAATTCTGAGTTTTAATTTAATATATGTTGCTTTTTCAGTTTTTCCCCATTTTACTTTTGTTACAGGTAACCAAAGAGATATTTAGTAAACCAAAAACTCTTTTTTTTATTTATCATTTCTTCTTCCTAAAGAACTGGCCAAAAGAACACAAACTCGTCATTTGAATATTAAATTTTTCCTTTTTTTTTTTTTTTCAGCTAAATCATTAATTTTTTGACTTACACTACAGAGCATTCCAAAAACCAAAGTGTAAAATGCAAATGCTTTTTTTGTTGTTGTTATTGTTTAAAAAAAAAGGAGAGAACTGTTTTAATATACGTTAACCTAATGAGTTCTTAACACTACATATGTTTAAAGGCCAAAAAACAAACTGAAAAGGAAACAAAAAGCAAAAAAAGCAGTATTAACAAGCCTCTTGCGGTTCCTTAGTTAATGTACAAGCACTTACAATCTGCGTAAGGAAGATCTCTACCCCATCTTGTGCTCAGGCGATTGCAGTGAAGAACGCAATCTTCACCGTCTAAGATTGCAAAGGACTTTACATGCAAAAGGCACTTGAATAACAGTTGATGTACTTTGTGACACTAGAAACCAGCATCAATTACTCAGCATTATGGTGTTCTTCAATTACCAGTATTTCACAATTAAACACAGTTCAACAAATACCAAAAAAAGCAGGCAAGCACTTACTTGCTTGTGCTTACCCTGCGTGTTGAACAGTATTATTTACCACACTAATAAGGGATGACTGATAGGGAATCTTTTCAAACATGACAGGAATCATTTTAAGGACAGTTCAATTAATTATTTTCCACTTTTTATGTTGGAGGATTTTTTTTTTTTCGCGGTCTAATGTACCTGGTCTGTATGTTCATTTCATACACACCTTCGAAACACCTTCAAAGAAATAAAACCAAAAATAATGCTACCTCCTTTTAAAAAACGGTTCACAAAATATATAGGCCAATGAAAGCCACCTATAGACATACAAAAGGTGTAAATCCCTTCTAGTTTTTCATTCATCCACAAAATACAAAAAAAAAAAAACATATTGTCGTAATAACCAAAATATGTTTATTGTTGCATAGCTGTGAATGGAGCTTGTTGATTCCTCTTGATTCCAAATTAATTTTCATGAATTCGGGTTCTTGAATGGAAACAAATAAACGAGACACAATGGGGGGGGGGGGAAGACGACTACCTCTCTATCCCATCCTAAAAAAGATATATATATATATATAAAATGCTGAGTCCTGTTAAGTATGAAGCATTAAGTGGTCAACATATTTAAAAGGGTCTACTTCAAATCACATATTCCCCACTTTAAGTGATCTATTAGCATAGTGTCTATGTCAGGTCCTCTGTGCGAAGGCTTAATTGTGTGTTCTAATTCCGCATGCATAATGAGAGGCCAGGCCAATGAGAGCCATCGAGCTGGCCGGTCATTAGAGCGTACTCAATGGGCCAGTCAGCTGGGTGTCAGAAATGATGATAGGCAGAATGCATTAATGCAGGCCACTCTCGCATGGACCCCGCTTCCCAATTAATGCAAAGTGTAGTTTTGAGACGGCAGTGAAAAAAATAACACACACACACAGACTATCCCTGAGAGATCATCACGCTCCTGCTAAAACAGGCCTTTATTTTTACCAAAATATCCAAAGAGAACCAACGAGCTTGTGCTACAAGAACTGAGGATTGCAAAGGAATTGAAAAACTCTCACGAATGAATTGCTGCATTCACTAAATGGACTACAACTGTGCTTTAAGGCACACGTGTAAACAAAGTTGTTTTATAAGATGTGGACTGAAATGCATCAGTGGTGATCGTCATGATTCCTTTGTTACTTTTACACACGTTGTAATGATGTATTATTGTATATTACCGCTCGGCTTAGATCTGAAGGGCATTCCCTCCTTTTCGTGTTTCCTTTACTTGTTTTCTTTTGATTTGATTTTTCCGCACCTGATTTTAGCTATTGTTAAATTTTGAGCTCAGAATTCCTATACTGTATTGCTTATGCTAAAGTGTATGTATTTATCATATTATGTGCTGCAGGTATCATGGTTAAATTTTGTTTTCCTTTGTTGGTTTTGTTTTCCCAGTTCTTCTGTCATAAAACGTCTGGGACGATGATTTTTTTTTAGTGTATTATCTCTCGAAAAAAGACAGATTAAGAGTTAGATAAGTGGTTAAGGTAACACACCTGTTTGTATATTTATCTTAGCTAGGTCTATTTTGATACTTTTTGTCTCTGTAGTGCATTTATGCATTTTTAAGGAAAAAAGAGAGAAAACAAACTAAAAAGTTGAACTCATTGTGTAATGATACCTCAGAAGGACTTTTCTCAAAAGACAGGACCAAAACTTCACAAAAACAATGAAAGAGAAAAAAAAAACATTGAAGAAAAAATGTGTAGCCCTCTCTTGCTTATAAGAAAGAGCAACTTTAAGTTTTTTTTTTTTTTATTATTGGTCCATTTAGGTGCCGATATGTGTACAGACTCCCTTTAAAGTCAAATCATTCCTTTATTTACCATGAGCACTCAAAGCTGTCTCTCATAAGGCAATAGCGCTCCAGATTTGTATAGAAGTTCTCTGAGAATCGGATTGGCTCTCTTTGGTTGAATTATGCCGATCGAGTGCGTCTTTCTTGTTTTCTGGCTTCTCTGCACCCTCATGCCTCTAAAATACCATGCTAACAGTTTTCCGGGCTATCAGAGGTACACAAAAGTCATACAAGCTATTTTTGACCACTGTTTGCCATTTGCTGTGAACTTGGTGTGGCTTTTCCACAGTAGCATACCAAATAAGATTGTGAAAAGGCTTTTAGAAATGCAGTTCATCTTCAGTGACCACCAAAGGGATTGTGGCTAGATGTTTGTATTCCAAATCGATCAAGTCTGCCACAACTGTAACCAAACAAATGCATGACGAAGGTGACAGCAGTATTTTTATGTCTTACGGTTATCCACACCCTCACGTCGCCTCAGAGCTCCATTGCCTGCTGATGAATAGCTTTGAGCTGCAGTTCTCTAAGTAAAGGACCCTTGCAGGGGAGCTTTTGCCTGATGGTATTAACTTCTTCAGCCAATCAAATGGAACTACCACTTCGACTCTCCTCTCATTGTATTTTTATGAATGTGTGTACATTTTCAGCAGTGACTTCTATGTACTTTAGTTTCATTTTAACTTGTTTGTTTACTTCTCTTTACTTTTTTTACATTTGTTTTGCTTTTTCAGATGAGACTTGGGGGAAGAATAGGTGATGGCTTTTGAAATGGTATAGAAAATTTTAAAAAGGCAACTAGCCATCCACCTTTGTCGTTCTAACCCCGGTGACCATGTTTATGCCAGTCACTGCTGTTTTTCTTCATGCTGTATAAAAAAAAAAATGCATATATCTGTGTATTTGTAACCTGAATCTTCTTGTGTCTGTCCATGCAGACAATAAAAAAACTGTACAGTAGGTCTAGTTGCATGTAATCTGTACTAATTATTGACAATGGCATTATAAAATGCAATAAAAATACTTATTACACTGTCTAAGGCTGTGTATTGTAGCTTTCTTTCTACATTCTTACTAACACTTTAATTAGAATTAACATTAATTTTTTTTGTAAATAATCCTATGATTCATGAATTAAGTCACAAAGGAATTTTTCCATCAATCTGAAGTCATCATTCTCAATATTTTTATAAATACGCACATGCCCTTATTTTACTGTATGTCCATAATGCATATCCCTATTGATATATTTGTTTAGAACATATGATGTTATTATTGGAGTTTACATCATTGTTGTTGTTGTTGTTATTATGTATAACGTTGTTTAATTAAAATATCCTTCTGAAATTTGCATTAATATTTTATTATAAATAGTCTTCCCACTGAAATGTCCAATGAAGAAATATACTCTTTAATGCATTGTGTACAGTATAGTAAACTGACATTTTCATTTATGGAAAGTAAATTGCAACCAAAAAAAAAAAAAATGCCTGAACATCTCATGGAATAAAATATACAGGTACAGTTCTTTTGTCAACCATTTTGAATTTGTTATAAGTGTCACAAATAAAAAAACACTGACAAGTACAGTCATAAAAAATTATGAAAAAGGGCCAAAGGTGATCGCCCTTTTGTGGGTTAGATGTAATATCACACTGTGAATTGTTAAAATATCTTTTAAAAATTATCATACACCAGAGGGATAATATCTAATTCACTTTTTAACATTTGTGCATCTTTGCCAGCATTTGGCAGTTTACAGTAGTGGAAAGGAGAGTCTTGCCTGCTCAAACACTACCAGTCTCTGTGGTGACAGTCTGTTGGAGCTTGTGGTGTTTTTCTCTCTAACAGACACCCTCAATAGTAGTCCATTGTGTGTGAGGTGCAGGAGCAAGCAAGGGAGGTGGCTTCTCCTAAAAACTGCAACATGCATGTGACACTTTGACAGCTGGTGTACAGCGGGTGATTGAACCAGAAAGCAGGGGCCCCAACTTCAAGGAAATGGGGTGGCTACAAAGCACTTGCCATTCCAATTTACTTAAGAAGAGGAACATCATGGCCCGGTCCATCTGATAAGATGGATGGGGCACAGGAGTAAAAAAATACATAAATAAATCAAATCAACAGCAGTTGTGTCTTTGTGTGTGCTCCATCTATGGTGCATTGAGCAATAGGGTAATATTTGCAATTACCTCTTCGCGTAATAGCATCCAGCTAATCGCTCAGTTACATAATTTACTGCTCATATTTAATCTGAGCACAAATTTAAATTATGTTTAGTAAGCTGTAGACTGACTGCCAGAGTATGAATACAATAATACATAAAATATTAGAATATCATATATTATCCATGAGACATCAATCACCATGAGAACAATGCATCTTTTCTGCATCGCTGATAGTGACATTAAATATTGATCTTATCAATTAAATAATCCAAATCATTAAAAAAAATCTGAAAACACTTTATAATATTACTATATGTATAAATACTATATATATAAACCGTATATATAGTTAATAAGTTATGTATGTATGCATTTTTTTATCACTTTAAAAAAAAAAGCAATATTAACAACACAAAAACAACATTATAACTAGGAATTTAAAAAATGTTTTCCACTGTTGAATTGTCTAGTAGCGCTGCAGCCTCAGACTGACAGTGTGGTGGCAGTACATAAGATTCGTTCTGACCAGCAGGCTGTCAACTTAAAGGCATGTGTTGAAACCCTACAGAAGTGTGGCCAGGAGTAAAAAAATACATAAATAAATCAAATCAACAGCAGTTGTGTCTTTGTGTGTGCTCCATCTATGGTGCATTGAGCAATAGGGTAATATTTGCAATTACCTCTTCGCGTAATAGCATCCAGCTAATCGCTCAGTTACATAATTTACTGCTCATATTTAATCTGAGCACAAATTTAAATTATGTTTAGTAAGCTGTAGACTGACTGCCAGAGTATGAATACAATAATACATAAAATATTAGAATATCATATATTATCCATGAGACATCAATCACCATGAGAACAATGCATCTTTTCTGCATCGCTGATAGTGACATTAAATATTGAATCAATCAATTAAATAATCCAAATCATTTAAAAAAATCTGAAAACACTTTATAATATTACTATATGTATAAATACTATATATATAAACCGTATATATAGTTAATAAGTTATGTATGTATGCATTTTTTTATCACTTAAAAAAAAAAAGCAATATTAACAACACAAAAACAACATTATAACTAGGAATTTAAAAAATGTTTTTCCACTGTTGAATTGTCTAGTAGCGCTGCAGCCTCAGACTGACAGTGTGGTGGCAGTACATAAGATTCGTTCTGACCAGCAGGCTGTCAACTTAAAGGCATGTGTTGAAACCCTACAGAAGTGTGGCCATGTGATGGTCTTGTTGTTGTGTTACAGGCTCTGTCCACCAGGAGGGGTAAATAAACCAGCCAAAAACTGAATGGGGAAGAGTGAAAAAGAAAAAAAAAATAGACAAGGAAAATATCAGGTCAGGCCCAGTCAGAGAACTCTTTCAGTCTTCTAAGAAAATCTCTCACTGACATACAGACATGGTGGAGATTGTTATTCCAACCCATTTAGACAGGGATCAGGTTCTTGTCTTTTTATTTCTGCCATCCATTCATTCTCTTAATTTAAAATCTGCCCTTAAAGCTTATCTTTAAAACACACAGGCCTCCGCTCTGAAGAGGTGTTGCTGCAAAATTGAGAGAAAAGATGGAAAATGTGTGTGCTTTTGGGAAAGTTAGATTTTTATTTGATTAAAGTATTCGAAAGACAGGAAACTTACACTTGCTGTTCAATTTGGTAAAAGTTTTTGGGGGGAAAAACAGCATTAAACTTCGGTAAACTCAGGTACTTTCTGACTTGCAAGACTGAATGACTCAAGAATAGTCTGACTGATACTGTTTGCACAGTGACTCTACTACTGAGTGTCAAAATACGCCAATTTGCACCACTTATCCACCTAGATGAATGATGAACCACACACATACACACATTTAAGTGTATCCTGCACCATGCAACCCTACATAATGAGTCTAATTAAGATGGCTCTGAGAGAATACCTCAGCCCGGACCATTAGCGTACAGAAGGCCTGGACAGGAGAACAAAAGCATCTTTGTGAGTGATTAGAAACACATTTTCATCCTTCTTTCCTACCCCAACCATGCCAAAATGTTCAATTCTGCTACAAACAATCAGTGTCAAATGTTTAAAATAACATCCAAGAGAAAAACACTGTTGGACATGAGTAATTCATTTTCTCAATCTACCTGTTTTACACTCAAAATTCTGTTTTTTTTCTCACCTCGCACCTCTCTAGCTCCTCCTCATTAATTTTTATCACAAAAATGTTTAGACCATAACCAACATTTGAGCATATCAGACAGTTTTATTTACATTCTACAAGGTATTTTGGGAAGACATTCACTTACTCAGCTCTTCAGTTTCTCCAGATCCAGCACTCACTGATGTTGATGTAGATATGGTTAAGTACAATGACCTATAAACACGGAGCGATGCACAGTCAAGCACCAAAAATGTCACCATTTTCTTCATCCTCGTGTTATTAAAAACCTCTGACTTTCTTTCTTTTGCAGCACATAAAAGAAGGTATGTTACAACTGTTTCTGTCCATATAATGAAAGTAAGTGGGGTCTAATACAACACTGAATCCCACTGCCTTTTCAAACTATCTTCTTTTGAAAGTTTGGAACGAAATGAGGATGAGTAATTATCGCTTGGTGATTGCCCAAGCACTGTTAGACCCAGTCTGGACCACATTTAAGCATGCGAAAACTCATGTCTCCATGAAACCATGCGGCAGATTAAAAGGCCTACAGGATCACAATATTCTGAGGCCATAGAGAGAAGAAACTAAGCAGAGTGGCACCTGGTAAATGTCAGGTTAATTACCAAGACAAAAACGCTGAAGGGTTGAATATCATTGACCTGTCAGCAAACACTGGCAGAGGCTAATGAGTGTCTGACGCTATCTTAGGAGTGCTGCATTTTTTGCAATGAGTGTCATTTTGGATTTAGTTGTGCGTGAGGGTGTGGACATCACACCTTACTCAGTCATCAGCATTTTCATTGATTACATCACATCAGTTTGTATGACGCATACACAAAGCTCAAGTCTGCACAATGCTGGTGTGTACTGACGGCCGTCTGATCCAATGGGAGGGCATCAAAGTGTAGCATTCCCTTTACATGTGCAAAGCATTTGCAAGAAACGGCTAAAAAAGTGAGGAGAGAGAGGTGATGGAACCATAAACATGGAATTCAGCTCTGACACTGGCATAAATTAACATAAATTGGAATGCGTAAAATCATTCTTGAAAGAAAAAAAAAAGAAAGAAAGATATATTATATTATATTATATTATATTATATTATATTACTTTTCTGTCTTCTATTGACGTGTTTTTGTTTATAATGTGGTCCTGGAGAGTATAATCAGTGTAATTGTGGAGTACAGGCATCTCT